CTTCATACTACAAGTCAAATGGAAAGCTTTAAGAATTATAAAAAAACTAAGGTTCCAACTCTCTCAAGCAAAGTTGACTTTAGATGGATTTGGCTATTTTTATGTCCTTTTTTTTGGTCATATGGCTCTTCAACTGTTTCGGTTCTTATACATCTTTGGCTTTGCCTCATGACGGTAAGTCCAGGTAAGCGCTTCGGACGCATGTAATTTATAACTTGTTGTTTTTACTTTTAACAGCACTGGGTCGATACCTCTGCTGGTGGACTATCAGTTCCCGAATGTATCATCAGCTCAGTATCAGTACTTCGGTACTGACATGACTTATAACAAACCTTTCTAAAACTGTATGTTTACACATTTTAAAAATTATAAAGAAACAAAGGTTTCAATTCCCTCAGACAAAGTTGACCTTAGATAGTTTTGACTCTGTTTTAGTGTCCTTTTTTGGTCATAAAGCTCTTCAGCTGTTTCGGCTTTGGCTTTCAAACATTGGCTTTGAGCGTTCCTGATGAAGATAAATCCAGAAAAGCGCTTCGGACGCATAACATTCATAACGTGTTGTTTTCAAATTTTATATATACAACTGGTTGAGTGTCCTTTCTCAATCTTGCTATGAAAGTTGAAAAAACTCCTTAGTATGTGAACTTAAGAGAGAAAGTATGATAAGACCACTTTTTGGCCTGTTGAATTAGAAAATCAAAAAGTATTATAAATCTGTAAAATAACATCCTTCAGATGTGTATTGGACATCAACCTGTCGTACATCATGAGCATCAATATTTTTTTATTGAATAATAAATAATAATAAATACAATATTTATACAGCGCATTATATAATAACAAAAATTACTCTAAGCGCTTCACATTTGAAAATAAATAAAATACATAAATACATAAAACATAAATTACAAAGCACCATCTTACAAGAATCAAACAAGCATATAAAAATTAATAAAATACTAAAAATGAAAAATGCATGTACCCTAAAATATACAAAAAAACAGTCTAAAACTAATGCAGTCAATTAAAAGTATATAAAATCTACAAGAAATCCTTAAAAGCAGTCCGAAATAAATGAGTCTTGAGTTGCTTTTTAAAAACATCCAAAGAATTTACACTCCGCAAGGACGATGGCAAACTGTTCCAGAGTGTAGGTGCAGCCTTGTCAAAACGCCTCTCACCGTAGCTTTTCGTTCGGACGTTATTCGGAGGATGTAAGAGCATACAATTTTCCGACCTGAGGGATCTACTGGGTTTGTAAGGCGTAATTAAATCTTGAAGGTAGCTAGGAGCCTTGCCATTCTGGGCTTTATACACATATAAAAGAAGTTTATATTGGCAACGGTAATGTATGGGTAGCCAGTGTAACGATATTAGAACAGGCGTAATTGAGTCAAATTTCTTTTTTCGTGTAATCAAACGTGCTGCTGTATTTTGGACCCGCTGTAACTTACTGATAATGTTGGTGTTAGTACCGTACAACAATGCATTGCCATAGTCCAGCCTTGATGTAACTAGGGAGCATACTAGTGTTTTACAGGATTCTACTGAAATTAAAGATCGAATTCGACCAATATTCCGAATTTGGTAAAAACAAGCCTTAGTGATCGCACTGGCTTGATGTTCCATGTTGATGGTTTTATCAAAGTACATGCCCAGATTTTTCACACAAGAAACGTCGCTTAACACAGTTCCATCAAATGTCAGACGGAAATCGGAAAGATGCTTCAATTGATGCTTTGGTGCAAACATGATTAATTCTGTTTTGTCTTCATTAAGTTTCAGCATGTTGACACTCATCCAATCACCAATATCAGACAAACATTTTTCTAGGCGTTTGGACAGATCGCACCAGTCTCCTTGCGGTCTTATGATTTGATAAACCTGAGTATCGTCTGCGTATGAATGGTATGACATTCCGTGGCGCCTACAAATTTCACCTACTGGTTTTGCAAAAATACAATACAGTTTCGGCCCTAAAACCGAGCCCTGCGGTACACCAAAATCGAGTTTTATATCGTCAGATTGTACTGATCCTATAGCAACACGTTGAGTCCTGTTCATAAGATACGATTGTAACCATAGCAAAGCATCTCCGGTAACGCCAAAGGAATATTCCAAACGATCAAAAAGAATTTGATGGTCGATGGTATCAAAGGCGGCCGATAGATCGAGCATGACCAAAACGGCACAACAGTTATTATCTAGTGCATAGGCAATATCGTGATGAACACGTAAGAGAGCAGTTTCCGTGGAATGACATGCACGGTAGGCTGACTGTACAGTATCATGTAGAGAATGTGAACTCATGTGATTTTCCAGTCGACTGTCGACAACCTTTTCCAGTGTCTTTGAAATGAAAGGTAAGTTGGAGACTGGTCGGTAGTTTTTGAGCACCTCTTTATCTAGACTTGGTTTCTTAAGTAATGGTCTCACAACAGCTTGTTTGAACGACAGTGGTACACATTGTTCTGATAGCGACGTGTTAACTATATCTGTGATTGACGGCAACAAATGATCCACACAAGGCTTAAGAAGTTTTGTTGGTAACGGATCAAGTTCGCAAGACTTTGTCGGAGCAGCCAAGATAATTTTACGAAGTTCGTCATTTGAAACTGGTGATAATGATCTTAATGGTTCACCTTCGAATTTTATATCAGCTCTCATTGTATCACGGTTGTAATTGGATGCATCATTCTTGGCCGTTAGATTGTCACGAATGGCACTTATTTTTCCAACAAAAAATTCACAAAATTTGTCAGCCAGAACTTTTTCATCATCATGCGAAGGTAGTATGACTTCTCGCCTATTGCCCATTAAGTCATTTGTCAAACGATGCAATTGCTTTTGATCATGTTCTATTTCGGATATTTTGGTTGAAAAATAGTCCTTCTTGGATTTAAGGAGAAGCTTGCTTGCTTTCAGACAGGTATCTTGAAACATTTGACGATGAAGTGTTAAATTCGATTTCCGCATACGTCGTTCTGCTTTCCGACGGTCTCTCTTAGCTATGCGGAGTTCGTCTGTATACCACTCAGTGTTAGGACGCATTATGATGTTCTTCGATTTTAATGGTGCATGCCTATCGATGATTGAACTAAGCTCGGTGTTATACAAGTTTACTATATTTTCAACCGACCCTTCACGATTTTGAACTATTTTAGTAGTGCTCAAATCTTGTATGAAGTCAGTTGTACTGATGTCACTAAATTTGCGATAAGACACGGTATGGCGTTGTTTCGGTGGCTTTGAGATCTTCAATGATGTAAACAAAGCAAGGTGATCACCAGAAGGATTACCATTCTGATCGAATAGACATGGGTCCTTAATGGATGGAGATGTTTGCACAATTATGCTGTTGTCTCTTGTTATAACGACATCAAGTGTGTGACCCTTATTGTGTGTTGGTCCTTGGACATGTTGTACCAGTCCATGGTCACGAAGAGTTTCATTGAATTTCCGAGTATCGCTCGCATTCACATTATCCAGGTGAAAATTAAGATCGCCCGTAATAAGCAACTCGTTTGGTATGACAACAAGCCGATCTAAGAATTCGGACCATTCCTCAAAGAATGTGGTGTTTTTCAGTTTATGAATCTTGCATATTTGCATTAGGGTTTCAAACTTTTCACATTTAAGATAAAACTGCTAAAATATCCTTATTTTGAGATCATGTCATTAATATTAAGATATTTTTTGGGGTAGTATTCCAGCAGCGCCTGCATATGGAGTATACATCTCCCTGTTGATACGATATTCCAGAGCTTGTATTTCCTTGATAGAGGGTTGCTGCTTACAAGGGATGTAAAAATGTACAACTGAAAGTTCCAAGTGGTGAAGTTGAAGTCATCCCTTTGAAAATTTTAAAGATGCCATCACGAGGTGTTTGACTTTTATGGAATATCTGTTTCACAGATGACAACAGATATGTTCCAATTGTCGTAATCACAATCTCGTCCTCTTGTCCTTAAATGTAACCCGCCGACTTAGACTTATCAGCAGGTTTGTACTTACATGAGTAACACGACGGGTACCACATGTGGAGCAGGATTTTCTTACCCATCTGGAGCACCTAAAATCACCCCCGGTTTTTATAGGGTTCGTGTTGCTCAGTCTAGAGTTTTATATGTTGTGTTTGTGAACTATTGTTTGTCTTTTCGTCGTTTTTCGTTTTTTTTTTTGTCATGGCATTGTCAATTTGTTTTCGACTTATGAGTTTGAATGTCCCATTGGTATGTTTCGCCTCTGTTTTACAAAAATGTTAATGAGAGGAAAATATTCTTGGGGTTAAGCTGTTGATTATGTATATTTTGACCAAAAACTGTTCGTGAAATGGCCATTTTGGGTCAAATACGTGAATTTCTAAATGTTTATGATGTCATTATGGCATCACAAGTGACATTTCTAAACTAAAGTGTCCAGATTATATTAACCGGCTCATTGATCAATAAAATAACCATACTTTTCAATAGTTACTTATTTTTGCAATTTCAGGCCCAAATAATATCTCTTTATCATACCTCCTCTTTTAGGAAACAGTAGTGTATTGATGTTCAAATCTCATAAATCCAATAAAAATCAAGGTAACAAACAAAACTTTGAGAGAATTGCATTCACTCCAAATGACGTTAGACTGGTGCCTCCAAAGGGCAACCATCTCCTCCTTAAACATGTATATAACCATCCAGAACAAATGGAAATAAACCCAAGAATGTGTCCATAGTACACGGATGCCACACTCGCACTATCATTTTCTATGTTCAGTGGACCGTAAAATTGGGGTCAAAACTCTAATTTGGCATTGAAATTTGAAAGATCATATCATAGGGAACATGTCTACCAAGTTTCAAGTTGATTGGACTTCAACTTCATTAAAAAATACCTTGACCAAAAACTTTAACCTGAAGCGGGACAGACGGACAGACGAACGGACGAACGAACGGACGCACAGACCAAAAAACATAATGCCCCTCTACTAACGTATAAAAACAATAAAATCGTAAGTTTCAAGCTTTATTCTACAATTCATAAACTTATAAAATAACAAAGTTAACAGATCATCATGTTAAAGCGAATAGTATTCCTTTACCATTCAACCCCAAAAATTATAAAGGTATTATCTAATTTTCCTGAGACTAGTCAGTTCAATTTGAATTTTAGCTGTATGCCTATGTAAATAACTGATATCAATATTCCTTTAACATTTGACAGTTGATGATATCAATATCGCTGAGATGAAACAGCTTGCTTAATGTGACTCTACCTTAGGTTTAACCGAGTTTCACTTCACAAATTCAGTCTTGAGTACAAATTTTTTAACACCTCTTCGCAATTTTCAGGAAGAATTGGCAATATACAAGTAAATAGGTTAACTCATGTATAGTTTTGCATGTGAAATCTGAAATTGTACTCTTCATTATTTGTTAGTTCCTAGCTATTATTCCTATGTATTAAATAGGGCATCAATACAAGCAAAATTTACATGTTTCTTTTTTTCTTTTTCTTTCTTTTTAAAAGTTAACACTGCATAACACAAGTTGTAATATAGTGTTTTCCATTTCCTAGCTGAAAAGAATAGCCATGAAAATCATTGTTAGATATCATTATTAAAATCTTTTGCAGTTTTAACTGCTTTGCATGAAATAAATTTGAAGAGAAAGTTAGAAATGACCTTTATGCAGATTGTCTTACAGGTTTACTGTTACAAATTAGTTTTTCCAACCAAAATCTTAAGAATTGATTGAAGCTGATTTAGATGTCTTGAAGTTGTACCAGAAACTATGCCATAGAACAGTTTGTACTAATAAATAATCAGTTTCAAGATCTTAAACTACGAAAAAAGCTGTAAATAGAGTTTATAAATTCACACTCAATGTCCAACTTTTGTATCAAAATGGTCAAGATGTCAACAACGCTTGCAGTTGGGCAAATTGTATGTTTTGCAATGGGAAAACCGAAAACACATTCTGATCAAAAACCAAATTTATCAGGCTAAAAAGGTGTACAGTGCCATTACATACTACAGATCGAAAGAAAAAGTTTCATAAAATATGGTGAGATAAGTAGCTGATACAAAGTTGGGTTGGACAAATAAACACTCTTTACAATATACACCTGCTAAAGTAAGCAGGGAAATAATAAATGAGACATATATAACATATGCCTAAAATACTAAAGCAATGTCTTGTATGCATTCAGACGTGGCGTATATCACCTTATTTTTTTTAAATTCATACTAAATCTGTATAATGTATTGAAATGTGATACAAAAAATAAAACTTCATAAAATATATAAATAAACTATGTTACTAGAATCAACAAATACATAATATAAAAATCATTTACATTCATACAGAAAACAGTTTGTACAAAAATGTATATTTATATCATATTAATACAAAATATATCATATTTACAATTAACAAAACAACTGCTTGGCCATGTTAAGGAAATAACTGGATTGACTCAAAGTGAAATAATTTTACTTGGGTTTCTAATTACCGATACCCACGGTTTTTAATTGAAATGAATAAATTATTCAACATGGTCTGTTTGATTTCTTTTAAGTTTTTAATTTAATCTATTGATTGATGATTGCTTAACTTTGTGTTTTTTTTAATTATTCACTACATTTAACTTGAATTCTTACATATTTGATTTTAATTTTCTTGTTTCCAAAAAAAACATGTATGGTAGAATTAAAAGCTAAAGCTTTACATCAGTAAATTTATTACAGATTGACTATTTTCAAAACAATACATTCCTTCTAAATTTTCTCTTCAACATTTGAAATCATTTTTTACATGTTACATTCTAAGTTTCCCCTAAATTACCAACATATCTTTTTGACATTAGAAATACTCAAAATATAATTTTTCTGATCTTTACAATTGTTAACTCAATTGTAAACATCAGTTACCCGAAATAAATATTATTTTCTATATTTTCATAATTTATATTTTGGCAGGTGGGTGGTGTTTTTTTTCTACAAATTTCAAGCAAAAATATTAATTTTCAAATTATTGGTTATTTTCAAAGAATCAGATCTACAATTACATATGAGTAAATGTATTAGAAAATGTGACATGTATTTTCTGATTTATAATATTTCAGAAAAATCACACTACAAATTTCTTTAATGATAAACCTTTGTTTGCATTCTGTGAGCAATGGAAAATCTATCTTATTACCTTCTTTGAGATTTCATCAAATAGCACCATAATGATTATAGCATATGTGATGCAATGCTGATTATATACAATTTTGATTTTTTTCTTTAAGACATATGTAGATTTTAATTCTTGCTTGTATGCTTGAAGGGTATAACTGGACTGAAAGTCAATATCTCTTTTGTCCTGACACGATATAACTTTCATACATCAGAAATCAATTGACTGGTTGTGGTGTCCTTTCCTGGTGTTATTTCGGTTCATTGGTCTTCATTGTTCAATACTTTCAAAACTGTTGAAATCGAAATTAGGTCCCTTCACTCAATAAGTGAATATTACAAATTGATTATTTTATTTAAGTTTGTATGTGACATAATACAACTAAACGCTGTCAACTTTTAGTTGTTGAAAGCCCATTTGGGTCTGAGACACATTTATATGTAATTAATGTACTTATATTCAACAACTTTATACCAGTCTTTAGTGCCAGCAGAGACGAGCCAGAAAGGTGTTTCAAGCCTTTTTAAAACTATGTAAAGAAACTGAACATTACCTGATAATATAGTTTTACATAGATTTAGCAATATCAATCAATTAAAATGAATATAAGAATTAACTGTGTCTCCCATGTTCATCTAAAAAAATACTTTTTATAACAGTAAACTTTGTCTGTGCAGATTAATTCAGGTAAACAAACTGGTTACAGATAAAATTAAAAAAGAATAGCACATGTTAAACTAGAGGCTCTCAAGAGCCTGTGTCGCTCACCTGTATTTACTGATGCTTTGGAAATCATGTAAAATAAGGTTAAAATCATAATTAATAGTATTAGATATTAGATATTATAATGATATCGAAGATAATAACAAAAAACTGCAAAATTTCTGTAAAATTACTAACTCAGGGGCAGCAACCCAACAACAGGTTGTCAGATTCGTCTGAAAATTTCAGTGCAGATAGAGCTAAATCTGATGAACATTTTTGCCACCTGTCAGATTTGCTCTAAATGCTTTAGTTTCAGAGATATAAACCAAAAACTGCATTTTACCCCCATGTTCTATTTTTAACCAAGTCTGCCATGATGGTTGGAAGGCGGGGTCATCTGACAAATGTTTTAAACTAGATACCCTAATAATGATTATGGCCAAGTATGGTTAAATTTGTCTCAGTAGTTTCAGAGAAGAAGTTTTTTGAAAAGATTACAAATATTTACGAAAAATTGTTAAAAATTGACTATAAAGGGCAATAACTCCTAAAGGGGTCGACTGACAATCTTGGTCATTACGACTTATTTGTAGATCTTACTTTGCTGAACATTATTGCTGTTTACAGTTTATCTCTATCTATAATAATATTTAAGATAATAACCAAAAACTGCAAAATTTCCTTAACATTACCAATTCAGGGGCAGCAACCCAACAACAGGTTGTCAGATTTGTCTAAAAATTTCAGGGCAGATAGATCTTGACCTGATAATCAGTTTTACCCAAGTCAGATTTACTCTAAATGCTTTGGTTTCAGAGATATAAGCCAAAATCTAAATTTTACCCCTATTTTTAGCCATGGCGGCCATCTTGGTTGGTTGGCGGGGTCATCAGACACATTTTTTAAACTAGATACCCTAATGATGATTGTGGCCAAGTTTGGTTAAATTTGGCCCAGTGGTTTTAGAGGAGAAGATTTTTGTAAAAAGCTAACGACGACGGCAACGACGAATGCCAAGTGATGAGAAAAGATCACTTTGCCCTTCGGGCCAGGTGAGCTAAAAAAATAGAATTAATCTTTCACTTGTATTGTGATAAACACAACAGTTATACTGAAACCATTTGTCAGCAAAGTGTATTTATTAAGAAGGGAAAAAGTGCAAACAATAAAAGCAAACAGTTACTATCAGTCAGTGGATAATAAAGACATGTGTTACTATCAGTCAGTGGATAATAAAGGCATGTGTTACTATCAGTCAGTGGATAATAAAGGCATGTGTTACTATCAGTCAGTGGATAATAAAGGCATGTGTTACTATCAGTCAGTGGATAATAAAGGCATGTGTGGATAAAATCAAAAAGTACAGTATGGCTTTGTTCTTGCTTAGTTTAAACATATTTTAATAATCAGAAGGACAAATGGATTAGACACAAAGTTTCAACTTAGTAACGTCTTCTTGTGTCTTATTTGCTTTCTGATATAAATTTTAAGTGAAAATCAAATTCAACAGGATCACAGAACATGAAATTAAAAAAAAATGACGTATTTACAATGCCTAATCTGTGTTCTAAATGTATTTCTTTCCTGTAATGTCCTTAAAAGGTTATCTGTAATGTGTACTGGGCTAACTAAAATATTTAGAAACAGACCATGCAAATTCAAAATTGAATATAAAAATACATTGTGAAGATCAAGGGAGATAGCTTTCCTCTCATAATTCAATTTGGAAGAAAATGGTCTAAAATTTTGAAAAAAGTGCAGATCATTTGGAGAAAACTATGTGTATTGTTTGTTTGTAAACTAACATGGCTAATTGGCGAAAATTTTTGAAAATACACATACTTACAAAGTCATAAATTATGTACACATAGATGTTGGAATATATTATAACAAATTTGCTATAAAATAACAGTATATACATATAAAAAAATGCATATCATAAATTAAACTCTATTACAAACAATTTTACGCAAATTTGAAATACTAACTTGTATGTATACACACAGATATATATATAAATATATATTTAATTGATAACATGGATGCCTACATCTGTTGAGCCTATACACAATTAATAATGATAATATTGACAGTAAACTTTGACCAATTTTAGCTATAATTGAATGAATGGAAAGGACAACAGCTCATCTTGTTCACTTAAATAACAAGTGTTATTTAAGAAGACTTAAGTCATGAGAAAGTGTTGCCCAGGACCAAGATAAACACATCTAATTCTAGATCTGCTCTTATGATAAATAATTTCAAAATAAACTTGGCTGTAACATGAGTCTACTTTACATGCCATTCTTTTTTTTGTATCAACCTCACTGCAACAATATAAAAACATCAAATGGTATTTTAATGTTACTGTCATTGTGGACATTTTCCAAAATGAAATTAATGAAATATTTTCCTTTGAAACAGCTGAGGAACAACAAACTGCTTTTGGTATTAAGTTTGGTTACAATTAAATTAAAAGCATTTGAATTAGCAGACAATCAACTGACTACCACTGCTGGTTTACCACTACAAAGTTGTGGTGCTTTAACAATGTGTACATATACATATACATAAGCATATAGAAAAAACATACAGACAACACAATTATAAAAAAATCTTGGCTATCAAATAAAAGCTGCTTTGTTTCCACAAGCCATCAAAGCAAATCATAATACCATGTGTTCAACTTAATGAAAAAATTTGATTTTTTTAAATAAACATTAAATATGCAGCAACTTGTAATTTTAGAACCTCTGCATGAATTTAAAGAGATCAATAAACTTTCAATTAAAAAAAAACAACAGCTAGAAAGCATTTTGCTGGTGACATCATATTAGAGATACTTAGAAGTAGAAACTGTGCTTCAAATTAAATACAAGACATGTTTTGCTATTGAATTAGATATAGTGTATGCCCCAATGAAAATTAAACATGAAGTATATTATTGTGCTCAGGTTTGTTGATACATGTACATGTAGTTTAACTCATACAAAAATTTTCAGTGGTTACACACATTGTATGTAAAATTCTTATCTACAAGACAACACTTCAAAAACTTAAATATGATATTTAATGAGATTTCTTTTCCATTTAATTATAATATCATAAAGACTTCACTGAATGTTTGATTTTTTATTCAAAATAAGTTGAAGAATGCTTTTTGAGAAAACAGATTTCCTCAAAAATCAAGAAACCAGAATTTTCATGTTATTTTACCGTCAAGACTTAATAAATATACAGGATTCAAGGATTGAAGTCTTTGGTTTTTAGTGGACTAGATCATTTGACTAAAGTGAACAAAAATATCAGTATTTACAATTTTGTTTGTATGAGACATCAATCCTAAGGAAGACTTTCAAATCAGAATGCTTAGCTTTCTGAATTAATTTCACATGTATCAAACCAACAGACCGCTAAAAACCAATTTACAAGGGCAATTACTCATACAAAACTCCCTGGGCAATAACTCATATAAAAATTTTTGAAGTATAATTGTAGTAAAATTTAAATGGAGAAATGAAAGCAGCCTATCTAATTAGAAGCAGTTCTGTCAATTTCATACTTTTCAATGAATTCAGTTTCTACAGTAGTTTTGATACTGTTTATTGTAAAGATAACACCTCAATATCTAACATTAAAGCTTTAAAAATACAATATTACCTTTATCAAAGTTTCAAAGGACTCTGGATATATGGATTGATATAGATTTAATACTGAATCAACACACATAGTCTATGTCATGGCGAAAGATTATTGATGTTTTTGCAATTATGCAAAAGACCAATCACATATGTCAAATCAACAATATGACAATTCTCAAACAAAAGAGAACAATTGTAAAAACAAAATTTTAAACATAAATCAGACCAAATCATATTAAATCATTAGATTCATTCTGAACAAAAAGCCCTTACAAATATAAAGCCCTAACAAATATAAAGCTATAACAAATATAAAGCTCTAAAAAAATATAAAACTTTCATATGGGTTTTTGTTAAGTTCAATGAAAACAGACCATAGAAGAATGTTTACATTCATACAGACATTTTTTTCTATATCTTATCAATCTCTTTGATTCAATTAGTGCGTATTTGGCATCTTTTAGCACCTCTATATTGGAAGAGCCTGGATATATTAAACAACTAGCTTACCATAATAACACTTCTTGCTCAAACTGCAGATTTAATATGCATATAGTCATACTTTCAGTGTTTATAATAAATAACTGTGTTAACTTACAAATCTACAGTAACTTAATGTAAAGATAATCTGTCAGTAGTGACCTACATTTCATGCATCATTGACTTTACATTACATTCCACTTAATTGACCTACAGTAGAACACTGGAGTTATATAGTATATAAAAGCATGTCATTATTTGTTGCACCATATTTGATTAGCACATGTTATATACACTGGAATGAGTAATGAAAATTTAAATGAATTCATCATAATTCTGTCTGAAGTTGTCCAACTTTGGTATTTTCATACAGGTCATCAGGTTCTGAAAAGAAAAAGATATAGTTAAAGATAATTCAATAAGGACAATAAGACTTTCATATCCTAAGGGTTTAATTCTGATAGACAAAACACAGTATTGTGAAGATTGAATACACTAATGAATTTTATGTACTGTAAATTCAGAAATTAATGTGTTCATTTGTTATTGCGATTTTCAAGAATAGACAAAAATGCAAGATTAATTATTGCGATATCATGAAAATCTGCATACAGATATATGTAACAGACATCAGAATGTGAGTTCTTATTATTGCGATAGTCACCCAGTCGCATTATTCGTATTAATAAAAACCTCGCAATAATTTCTGAATTTACAGTAACTGAAATCTACATGCTTGAATGGGGGTATGCATAAATAAATAATTATAAACAGCTGCGCCATGAGCGCATGATACACCCATCGTCTTGTGTGTGAATTTTTATGCAATAATCATAAATAGTTTCTGACATACGGCCTGACATGCAAAAACCCCCTTTTTTTTACAAAAAACTCAATATCTCTAAAATAAAATTTTGAATCAAAACCAAAAAGTATACAGATCTTAAGATTTATATAACTAAGAAGTGTGTAAAATTTTAAGCAATAATCATAAATCGTTTTTGAGATACAGCGCGACATGTGAAAACCCCCCTTTTTAAAAAAAAAAAATCAATATCTCAAAAATGAAATTTTGAATCAAAACCAAAAAGTATACAGATCTTTAGAATAATATAACTAAGAAGTGTGTAAAATTTTAAGCAATAATCATAAATCGTTTTTGAGATGCGGCGCGACATGTGAAAAACCCCTCCCCCTTTTTTTTTACAAAATACTCAATAACTCAAAAATAAAATTTTGAATCATCACTAAAAAGTATACAGATCTTAAGATTAATATAACTAAGAAGTGTGTAAAGTTTTAAGCAATAATCATAAACTGTTTTTGAGATACGGCGCGACATGTGAAAAACCCCTCCCCCTTTTTTAACAAAATACTCAATATCTCTAAAATAAAATTTTGAATCATCACCAAAAAGTATACAGATCTTAAGATTAATATAACTAAGAAGTGTGTAAAGTTTTAAGCAATAATCATAAACTGTTTTTGAGATACGGCGCGACATGTGAAAAAAAACACACACCTGTTTTAGTTACCAAGTCCCGTAACTCAAAAAGTTTTAATCTTATTTTCACCAAAAAGTATACAGATCGTTTGACAATCATAAGAAACAACTATGTTAAGTTACATGAAATTTGGATAAGTCATTCTCAAGTTACGGTGCAACATGTTTATGCCGGACAGACAGACGGACAGAAGACATTTGTATACCATAATACGTCCCGTCAAAATTTGACGGGCGTATAAAAATCCTCAAAGCTTATAGTTTGGTATGCCAGACACGAGTGTTTTGTCTAAGCAAGACTAGTCAGTGGTGCTTAGATCAAAACAGTAAGAAGGCCAAATCAAAATCAATGTTGAAGACTAAAAAAACAAAAATTTCAAAAATTTGTGACAAGTACAGCTAAGGCAAAATATGCCTGGAGAAGAAAGATATCTTTCAAACATATTCAGGATAACTTGTATATAGCTTTTTTATTTGCAATACAGAATTCAGAATACACAGGTATATATACAATATATCCAGCTGTAAATCACCAAGAGTCTTAAATGTTGTGAATCCCATCAACACCTAATTCACTAAAGGATAAAATCATTAAGATATGATAAAAGACATCCACTGATGAGGTTCCTCACTTCAGTCACTTGGTAAAGGATTGAACATGACTATTTAACTTAATTGTAACTTACAAGTCTGAATGTCAGAACCTTTACTGGAATGACAAAATGATATATCCTACTTACCAAACGCTAAATTATCAATAGAGACTTCTCCATTAACTTCAGGATTCTGTAATTTTCTCTTTCTTTCTACTATTTCAGATAGACAGTCATGGATAAAAGCATACTGTGTCTACAATCAAACAATTATATATCATTAGAGAACACAGTCATTTCATTGTTTTCAACACTAGTTTACTACCAGTGTGTCTGTATCTCTACTGGTTTATGGTCAGTCCCCGGGGGTACCATCTGCCAAATGAATTCATATATATATAAACAAGAATATGTGTCCATAGGACACGATACCCCGCTTGTACTACCATATTCCCATGTTTAGGGAACTGTGATATCAGTCCATAGGACACGATACTCTGCTTGTACTACCACATTTCCATGTTTAAGGAACTGTGATATCAGTCCATAGGACAGGATGCCCCACTTGTACTACCATATTTCCATGTTTAGGGAACTGTGATATCAATCGATAGGACACGAAACTCTGCTTGTACTACCATATTTCCATGTTTAAGGAACTGTGATATCAGTCCATAGGACACGATGCCCCACTTGTACTACCATATTCCCATGTTTAGGGAACTGTGATATCAGTCCATAGGACACGATGCCCCACTTGTACTACCATATTTCCATGTTTAGGGAACTGTGATATCAGTCCATAGGACACGATACTCTGCTTGTACTACCATATTTCCATGTTTAAGGAACTGTGATATCAGTCCATAGGACACGATGCCCCTCTTGTACTACCATATTTCCATGTTTAGGGAACTGTGATATCAGCCCATAGGACACGATGCCCCACTTGTACTACCATATTTCTATGTTTAAGGAACTGTGATATCAATCCATAGGACACGATACCCTGCTTGTACTACCATATTTCCATGTTTAGGGAACTGTGATATCTGTCCATAGGACACGATACCCCGCTTGTACTACCATATTTCCATGTTTAGGGAACTGTGATATCAGTCCATAGGACACGATACTCCACTTGTACTACCATATTACCATGTTTAAGGAACTGTGATATCAGTCCATAGGACACAATGCCCCACTTGTACTACCATATTTCCATGTTTAGGGAACTGTGATATCAGTCCATAGGACACGATACTCCACTTGTACTACCATATTTGCATGTTTAAGGAACTGTGATATCAGTCCATAGGACACAATGCCCCACTTGTACTACCATATTTCCATGTTTAAGGAACTGTGATATCAGTCCATAGGACACGATGCCCCATTTGTACTACCATATTTCCATGTTTAGGGAACTGTGACTTCAGTCCATAGGACACGATACCCTGCTTGTACTACCATATTTCCATGTTTAGGGAACTATGGTATCAGTCCATAGGACACGATACTCCACTTGTACTACCATATTTCCATGTTTAAGGAACTGTGATATCAGTCCATAGGACACGATGCCCCACTTGTACTACCATATTTCCATGTTTGAGGAACTGTGATATCAGTCCATAGGACATGATGCCCCACTTGTACTACCATATTTCCATGTTTAAGGAACTGTGATATCAATCCATAGGACACGATACCCTGCTTGTACTACCATATTTCCATGTTAAGGGAACTGTGATATCAGTCCATAGGACACGATACCCGGCTTGTACTACCATATTTCCATGTTTAGGGAACTGTGACTTCAGTCCATAGGACACGATACCCTGCTTGTACTACCATATTTCCATGTTTAGGGAACTGTGATATCAGTCCATAGGACACGATGCCCCACTTGTACTACCATATTTCCATGTTTAGGGAACTGTGATATCAGTGTCAAAACCACAAATTTGGCAAACAAGGAAATAGTTCATATCATAATGAACATGTGTACAATGTTTCATGTTGATGTGACCTCAAACTACAAAAGTTAAAATCAGCAATATTTGCATGACCTCCATTTTGTCATGAGAAACATCATATTAGAATTTGAAAAGGATTGGATCAATCTTTCTCAAGTTACTGTGGATTCATTTATTTTTGTGGGTACCAATTTTCGAAACTTACATGTTCGTGGATATTTAATTTCGTGGTTTTTGACAATGTCTGCATACAAGCCTATAGTAAATTTGCCATTTGTTGAAATTTTAATTTCATGGTTAACATATAACCACGAAATCCACGAAAATTGGTATCCAACGAATAATAATGAATCCACATTATCACACTGAAATAATATTACATGTCAATTTCAAATCAATTACTCTTCAATCTTTTAAATCTCTCTGGCAAATTTTAGACAAAAGAAAAGTATGTAAAAACATTTATTAGACTTAGATCAGTATCTCAAAAAACTTACAAGTCTACACAACATACACTATACACACAACACAAAAAACAAATGACAGTCACAATACTGAACAAGTACATGCAACTTACTCAAACAGAAGTTACACTAAAACCTATCTTTCAAAAAACCTGGTATACACACGGGAGAGAAAGTTCTGAATAAAAAATATAAATAAATAGGGCTGAGTGGGCGGGTATTTCAAGAATTATAAATTTAAGTCGATTGATGCGTCAACTAAATAAAAATCAAAGCACTGTAAGCGCTGTAGGCAGTTAACCAAAAACCAAAGCAAACGTAATTATGAAAACTGTGGCAGTGTTGCTTCAATTTTTTTTTAAGATTTGAAAGAACAAACATTAAACATTCGTATATTGTACATTTATGTTCATTAAATGAATTGATTATTAAGGCAAAATAATTAATATTTCATCAAGGTTTTCAAAAGCAACTCATATATCAATGTAAATGACCCCCCACCTTCACCCCCAAGTGCACGATGTTACTCCATACCAAGTTTGGAATAAAATGACAGGTGATTATAAAACAGTTGGTCAAACATTCTCGGGCTTTACACTGCTTGAAAGATTTATGTTTTCTTTAACATAAGCCATAAATGAAAATTATTATAAGCCCAGAAATAATTTAATAAATAATTAAAGTAAATTCAATTAACCTAGACTCATTTTTTGCATCAATTAAATATTATAATAAACAAATAATTGTAACAGGATGCCGTTACGAAGTCTCCCAAACAAAGCCCCCATAATTCGTCATTCCCATGGTCTCCTGACATTGGGCAAAGTCCAGTTCATATTGGTTTGGTCTAGTAAAGTGATATGCATATGTGACACCTAGGAGATTGACCCTGTATGTCATTCAAATCTTTTTGAAATGATGAACAGGAATAAATATGGTTTAGGTGTGGGTATCTCGACCGTTTACAAGTTCTCAAACAGGAGGGGGTGGGGTGACCCCAGGGACTCCCCCTATACTTCGTTTGATTTTTTATATTATCCCATACATGAATACATATGGTTTAGGGGTGGGGATCTCGACCATTTCCAAGTTCTCAAACAGGAGGGGGTGGGGTGACCCCCAGGGACTCCCAAAATATTTCATTTGATTTGTTATATTGTCCCATACATGAATATATATGGTTTAGGGATGGGGATCTTGACTGTTTACAAGTTCTCAAACAAGAAGGGGTGGGGTGTCCCCATGGACTCCCCCTATATTTCATTTTATTTGTTTTATTGTCCCATACATGAATGTATATGGTTTAGGGGTGGGGATCTCAACCATTTCCAAGTTCTCAAACAGGAGGGGTTGGGATGACCCCAGGGACTCCCCATATATTTCATTTGATTTGTTATATTGTCCCATACATGAATATATATGGTTTAGGGGTGGGGATCTTGACTGTTTACAAGTTCTCAAACAGGAGGGGGTGAAGTGTCCCCAGGGACTCCCCCTATATTTCATTTTATTTGTTTTATTGTCCCATACATGAATGTATATGGTTTAGGGGTGGGGATCTCAACCATTTCCAAGTTCTCAAACAGGAGGGGTTGGGATGACCCCAGGGACTCCCCATATATTTCATTTTATTTGTTATATTGTCCCATACATGAATATTTATGGTTTAGGGGTGGGGATCTCGACCGTTTACAAGTTCTCAAACAGGAGGGGGTGGGTGACCCCAGAGACTCCCCCTATATTTCATTTGATTTGTTTTATTGTCCCATACATGAATATATATGGTTTAGGGGTGGGGATCTCGACCATTTCCAAGTTCTCAAACAGGAGGGGGTGGGACGACCCCAAATTATTTTCATTTGATTTCTTTTATTGTCCCATACAAGTATTTATATTGTTTAGGGGTGGGGATCGCGACGGTTTACAAGATAAAAGTACATTTTCAAATTAAAGGGGGTTGGGATGGACTGATGGATGACAGACAGACAGAGGTAAAACAGTATATTCCCACTTTTTTAAAGCGGGGGTATAATTATGCATTTTTTAGAATAAAAATTATACAATCAAGGACCAAAACTCCTGAATGGCAAAAGTGAAAATGGTCAATATTGAACTTAATCCCTATTTTGTATGAGAAACATCATATTTTAAACAAAAATTAAAACAAGGAAACAGATATATCATCCTTCCTGCCCCCATATCTTAATCCGTCGTACTACTCAAAATATTTTTCATGGGAAAACCATTTAAAAACACAAGCAAAGTTCAACAGTATCAAATTATACTCAAGTAAAATGTAATCCACCAAAAAATGTGCTTACACACTATTTAAATCGTGATATATAGAAAATCCTGTCATATCATAATACTGGTTGTAGAAATGGCTAATTACTTTTTCTAGAAAAAAAATATTGTTCATTCTGACCTTTGTATTTTAAAGTGCATGGATAAATTGAAAACAGCAAGCACTTCATGCTAGAACGCCAAAATTATACAGATACATAAGGGCAAGAACCATTGACACTCTACATGGAAATATTAGTATATATACAAACCTTATTATCAGGTAAAACTTTTCAGCTATTAGGTAACAAAATATTATTGATGTTGTACAAAAATTTATTGTGGAAACAGGGGGATTTGTTTTATAATTCTTCTGTTTTATGTGACACTATATTTTGGAATTTGGAAAATTGAACTTTTTTTTGTGTTACACATTTATAAGTCTAAAGTATATTTACAGCTAAATCAGAATAAGTTGATCACATCCTTTGATCAGGCTTCCATCTGATTTGAACTGGCAAACAAATATATATTTAATAAATAACTTATAAATTCCATTGTAGCGTGTTCCTTTACACTATGATTCCAAGGTTTCTCATCTTTAAGTGAGAGCAATTTATATAAGTTTTTCTTGTTTCAAATCATTATATTTCTGTTATATTTTGTCATGTGTGCAGTTTGGAAAAAATTAAAATATTGTATATACCAAAAAATGCTCACAATTATTGAAAGCAAGCTAAAAAATAAATCAAACTAATCATATTGATAAAGACATCATGCTGTCCTACACTCATACAAAAGCAGCTTTACTAAGAAGGAAAAAATTGTTTATGGGCAATTTCTTCATTGTCACTGAAAGTTTCTCTACCACACCAAAAGAATACAAGTATAGTATACCAACCCATGTTTGCACCATTGTTGTTCTATGGTCTCTCATCTGTATCACCCAGTCAAATATGTCTACTTGTGAGGACAAGTCATGGTCTTCAACATACTGCATCAAGTAGTCTACCGTGATAAATGTACCTGTTCTACCAACACCAGCACTGAAAAAATATACATTCTGTGTTCATAGACATTCAACTACATCTAAACTTTTGCAATTATTATAAAAGTATCCAATCATTCAAAAGAAACTCAATTTTATCAAGAAACTAAATAACAAAAACCTTTATATACTATAAATTCAGAAATTATTGCAAGATTAATGAATGCGCTACAAGCAAAAAATGCAATATGAATTAAAAAATATGAGTTTAAAATTGAAGCCATGGTCCTTCAGTCACAGCTTGGCAATAATAAAAACTTCACAAAAGGTTTCTATATTTACAAAGGTACAAGTTGACACATTATCATATTTTTTTAACTTTCAAAATGAAACAAGTAATTTTGACATTATGTTTTAAGGACAGTTGATGGGCAATGGAAATTTGGACATAGTGTTACTAGTGTCACATCAAGGTGCTGCTTCTGTATTATATAAAAAACAGATAGATTTGATCATTATAATTGACTCTATTGGACAACTAACATCAAGTTTGAGATTTGGTCATTGTCCGATAAATATTTGTTTGAACTTTTTAAACCTTTATTTTGGATATTTCACTCTGAGGACAATTTTATAGAACATTTTGAAGGAGATTTGTTGTAGAACCGATTTCACTTCCTTTTCAATCTTACTTTTTGAGTTTCAATTAATAATGTTTAAAATATTTCTACACATCACAATCAAATGAATCTAATTATCACTGTATCAATTAAAACAACAACATATATGTATTTATTAAAGTTGAGCATACACATGTTTCTATTATGTAAACAATCACACTTGAGTGTGTGTCCTCATAGTGGTCATCTATTGGTGTTTATATTAAATAAACAGGTTTGTGTTTTTAAATATATGATATTTCGGATTGGTCAATATTTGTCGCATTGCATAAATATATTGAGTATGATATTTGATATGTAAATAGCACGGGATTTTTAAAGTGCAAATAGTTTTCTTGTTAAAGTAAGTTAAGATATATTGTCATTCGAAGCTCGTATACCGTTGAGTACAGTGGAGTTTAGTTAAGGTAAAGACCCCCCCCCCCCCCCCCCCCCCCCTTCTCCCCCCTATTGAATGCTTGTATTTTTGAAATGTTTTTACGCATAGAAGATAGATATTTATACTACCAGTATGACATTGTTTGGTTGATCATTAAGACCTATATATGTATATATGATTTCTCATTTTGATTTTCTATTTTGTAGGCTGTTGTGTACTACGCAGCGGTGTTGCCGTTATCATGATGACATCAGGACTCAAATTTAATTTTGTTTTAATAAAATTATCACAGTAAGCTGCACATGCTGGCGAGCTATTCCTATGAAACAAGTGCTTGTTTTTATTTTATATTCGTTTGAGGTAACGAATTAGAATATAAAATGTATTTTGAGTACTGTGTATTGTGTGAGCAATGTTTGGACAATATTTAGTAAATTTTAAAGAAAAATGAATAATATTAATGAAATGATTTTTATAGAGGAAGATTTGAACTCTGTGTCATGAGAGTGCATGGTCTTCAGAGAGATTTTTAAATTAAAAAAAAAAAAACTGAACAGCAGCGCCCACAGAAACCTGGAGAGCTATTGTCTATGATTGAAATGACCTTCTATGGAACCTTGAATGCAAATATCAGGTCATTATAACCTAAATACCATAATATAGGATGGGACTGAATACTGTAAATTCAGAAATTATTGTGATTTTTGAAGAATGGACATAAATGTGCGAGATTAATTATTACAATTTCAAGAAAATCTGCATACAGTAAAACGTATAAGATATCAGAATATGAGTTCTTATTTTTGTGATTCTCACCTAGTTGCATCAGTCACATTAATAAAAACCTCACAATAATTTCTGAATTTACAGAAGTCTTTAGTTCTAGGCACTACAATGTATATCCAACACTTACATATAATGTGTAAATGTTTTGGCTTTAAAATCAGATGTGGGATATAAATAACAATGATCTACATACTTACGTACCATGTGTGAGTGTAGGACCTTTAGAATTAGATAATAGTGACCTACATACTAACCTACAATGTGTGACTGTAGGACCTTTACAATTAGATAATTGTGACCTACATACTAACTTACAATGTGTGACTGTAGGACCTTTACAATTAGATAATAGTGACCTACATACTAACCTACAATGTGTGACTGTAGGACCTTTACAATTAGATAATAGTGATCTACATACTAACCTACAATATGTGATTGTAGGACCTTTACAATTAGATAATAGTGACCTACATACTAACCTGCAATGTGTGACTGTAGGACCTTTAATATCAGGTGTGATATGTTGTCTCACTGTAGTAATGAATTCAATTAATGTTGTTGTCTCTACTTTAGCTGAAAAATCTGGCCACTCTAAAAAGTGGAAATGTTTTACTACTCTCGTATCATCTCCCTACAAAAATAAAGGTATCAATGAAATATGTGAAACATATTCGAAATTAAAAATTTATATGTAATATAATTAATTCTGAATAATACATTTTTTCAAAAATCCATATAAAATATTTGAAATTGGTAAGCAAAGAACATACTAGCTAACAATGTATTCCTATTGAATCTTTAGAATCAGGTGTGAGATCTAGATCAATGTGACCTACATACTAACCTATATGTGTGACTGTTTTTAAGATGGCTGGAAGTTAATTCAAAAAGGTTATTAAAAAACAAATAAATTGGCTAGGATCAATACAGTGTAAAATAATTCTGATGTGATTTGCGTCTCTACAAATACTTGAATGTGATTTGTCCCTTAACACTTCAGTTTGGTTTACACCTCGACTTAGAGTGTAAAATAACTATAGAATAACCACTGTAGGTCCCAAATATATAAATGTTTCTTTTTACACAAGTGTGTTTACAGCAGGTTTTATATACATGTGATTTTACATCATATCAGACATTATGGCCATGATTCCAGTACCATATTTGTAAAAACCCCATAATTCCACTTACCAGACTAACGTCCATGATATGAATATCATATTTTCCCATGTTAGATACCGAGGTAACATTGACCATAAGATCATTGTAACACTTTGGTTCATTGGCTGCATGTGGCCAGTAATGTTCACATTTATCCTGAAAAATAAGTTACACATTTTAATTATCACATAACAAGCGTCAAAATTATCAGAAAATGGCATTGGGCACAAAACTCCTTAACATAAATACCATGCTTCTACATTGTGCTTTGTGTGCCATTTTGTTATTTTGTAAAGCATTCAAAGTCCACTGCTAAACCAATAAAATTATCCTAAAGCATTATTTTTTTTGTCAAAAAATGAGATTTTGACCTCTCTCACATGTGATATGCCCAAATGTGAGATTTCATATTTTTTTTTACCTCCTTCTATGTCAATTCAAAAATTTGGCCAAATGTTATCTAACCAGAATAAAATGGAAACTATATCTGTTACACATCATTATACAACTGCATACTAAAAATGATTACAATGTCAACGTATATGTGTTCCTTGCAACAGAAGTTCCCCTGGAAAACTTAATTATAAACAATGCCATTACATCTATTCGTGTTGGAACAAATATTTTATACCCTTTATTTCGTTAGGAACAAATTCTGTACTATTTGTTACAGTGGAAACAAGAGGCTCACAAGAGCCTGAATCGCTCACCTGTATTTCAGAGAAGATTTTTAAATGTTAACAAACTTGATGAACAAATTGTGTAAAATTGTCTTTAAAGGGCAATAACTCCTTAAGGGGTCAATTGACAATTTTGGTCATAATAAACTTTTTTGTAGATCTTACTTTGCTGAACATTATTGCTGCTTACAGTTTATATATATCTATAATAATATTCAAAATAATAACAAAAAACTGCAAAATTTTGTTAAAACTACCAATTCGGTGGCAGCAACCCAACAATGGGTTGTTCGATTCGTCTGATAATTTCATGGCTGATAGATCTTGACCAATTAAACAATTCTACCCCATGTCACATTTGCTCTAAAAGATTTAGTTTTTGAGATATAAGCCAAAAACTGCATTTGACCCCTATGTTCTATTTTTAGCCATGGCGGCCATGTTTGTCGATGGATACAAACTTCGGATAAAATTTATAAACAAGATACCCTAAGGAACATTTATTTAAAGTTTGAAGGTAATTGGCCCAGTAGTTTCAGAGGAGAAGATTTTTAAATGTTAGCAAACTTGATGAACAAATTGTGTAAAATTGTCTTTAAAGGGCAATAACTCCTTAAGGGGTCAATTGACAATTATGGTCATATAAACTTTTTTGTAGATCTTATTTTGCTGAACATTATTGCTGCTTACAGTTTATATATATCTATAATAATATTCAAAATAATAACAATAAACAGCTGCGCCATGAGCGCATGATAAGCCCGTCGTCTTGTGTGTGAATTTTTATGCAATAAGCATAAATAGTTTCTGACATACGGCATAAAATGCGAAAACCCCCCTTTTTTTTTACAAAAAACTCAATACCTCTAAAATAAAATGTTGAATCAAAACCAAAAAGTATACAGATCTTTAGATTAATATAACTAAGAAGTGTGTAAAATTTTAAGCAATAATCATGCATCGTTTTTGAGATACGGCGCGACATGTGAAAACCCCCCTTTTAAAAAAAAAAAAAATCAATATCTCAAAACTAAAATAATGAATCAAAACCAAAAAGTATACAGATCTTAAGATTAATATTACTAAGAAGTGTGTAAAATTTTAAGCAATAATCATAAATCGTTTTTGAGATACAGCGCGACATGTGAAAAACCCCTCCCCCTTTTTTTACAAAATACTCAATAACTCAAAAATAAAATTTTGAATCATCACAAAAAAGTATACAGATCTTAAGGTTAATATAACTAAGAAGTGTGTAAAGTTTTAAGCAATAATCATAAACTGTTATTGAGATACGGCGTGACATGTGAAAAACCCCTCCCCCTTTTTTAACAAAATACTCAATATCTCTAAAAGAAAATTTTGAATCATCACCAAAAAGTATACAGATCTTAAGATTAATATAACTAAGAAGTGTGTAAAGTTTTAAGCAATAATCATAAACTGTTTTTGAGATACGGCGCGACATGTGAAAAAAAACACACACCTGTTTTAGTTACCAAGTCCCGTAACTCAAAAAGTTTTAATCTTATTTTCACCAAAAAGTATACAGATCGTTTGACAATCATAAGAAACAACTATGTTAAGTTACATGAAATTTGGATAAGTCATTCTCAAGTTACGGTGCGACATGTTTATGCCGGACAGACAGACGGACAGAAGACATTTGTATACCATAATACGTCCCGTCAAAAATTGACGGGCATATAAAAAACTGCAAAATTTTGTTAAAACTACCAATTCGGTGGCAGCAACCCAACAATGGGTTGTTCGATTCGTCTGATAATTTCAGGGCCGATAGATCTTGACCAATTAAACAATTTTACCCCTGTCACATTTGCTCTAAAGATTTAGTTTTTAAGATATAAGCCAAAAACTGCATTTGACCCCTATGTTCTATTTTTAGCCATGGTGGCCATGTTTGTCGATGGATACAAACTTCGGATACAATTTATAAACAAGATACCCTAAGGAACATTTAGTTAAAGTTTGAAGGTAATTGGCCCAGTAGTTTCAGAGAAGATTTTTAAATGTTAGCAAACTTGATGAACAAATTGTGTAAAATTGTCTTTAAAGGGCAATAACTCCTTAAGGGGTCAATTGACAATTATGGTCATATTAACTTTTTTGTAGATCTTACTTTGCTGAACATTATTGCTCCTTACAGTTTATATAGATCTATAATAATATTCAAAATAATAACAAAAAACTGCAAAATTTTGTTAAAACTACCAATTCGGTGGCAGCAACCCAACAATGGGTTGTTATATTCGTCTGATAATTTCAGGGCCGATAGCTCTTGACCAATTTAACAATTCTACCCCATTTCACATTTGCTCTAAAAGATTTAGTTTTTGAGATATAAGCCAAAAACTGCATTTGACCCTTATGTTCTATTTTTAGCCATGGCAGCCATGTTTGTCGATGGATACAGACTTCGGATAAAATTTATAAACAAGATACCCTAAGGAACATCTAGTTAAAGTTTGAAGGTAATTGGCCCAGTAGTTTCAGAGGAGAAGATTTTTAAATGTTAGCAAACTTGATGAACAAATTGTGTAAAATTGTCTTTAAAGGGCAATAACTCCTTAAGGGGTCAATTGACAATTATGGTCATATTAACTTTTTTGTAGATCTTATTTTGCTGAACATTATTGCTGCTTACAGTTTATATATATCTATAATAATATTCAAAATAATAACAAAAAACTGCAAAATTTTGTTAAAACTACCAATTCGGTAGCAGCAACCCAACAATGGGTTGTTCTATTCGTCTGAAAATTTCAGAACTGATAGATCTTGACCAATTGAACAATTATACCCCCATGTCAGATTTGCTCTAAAAACTTTAAGTTTTTGAGATATAAGCCAAAAACTGCATTTGACCCCTATGTTCTATTTTTAGCCATGGCGGCCATGTTTGTCGATGGATCATAACTTCGGATAAGATTTATAAACTAGGTACCCTAAGGAACATTTAGTTAAAGTTTGAAGGTATTTGGCCCAGTAGTTTCAGAGGAGAAGATTTTTGAAATAGTTTACGACGACAGACAACGACAACGACCACAGACGACGGACGACGACGGATGCCAAGTGATGGCATAAGCTCACATGGGGCCCTTTGGGCCCAGGTGAGCTAATAATATTACAGAATATTTCTTTCACTTAGAACTAATATTATGAAGCAACTTCCATTTCATGACAACAAACCTACCATGTTATTTTCACTACACTTTGTTAACATGACTACGATGGATACACTCTGTTCCCAGATCATTCTCCAAAAGTCATTGGCTGTACCTGGTAATGGTCCCTGGCTGGCAATAAATTCCTTACCATAGGTATATCCCTAGAAAGAATAAGTCTAATAAAGTTAAACTCAAATACTTAACTTTTGACCACTGAACCATGAAAATGAGGTCAAGGTCAGATGACACCTGCCAGCTAGACATGTACACCTTACAATCATTCCATACACCAAATATAGCAGACCTATTGCATACAGTATAAGAAAAACAGACCAAAACACAAAAACTTAACTATAACCACTGAACCATGAAAATGAGGTCAAGGTCAGATGACACCTGCCAGTTGGACATGTACACCTTACAGTCCTTCCATACACCGAATATACTAGACCTATTGCTTATAGTATCTGAGATATGGACTTGACCACCAAAACTTAACCTTGTTCACTGATCCATGAAATGAGGTCGAGGTCAAGTGAAAACTGTCTGACGGGCATGAGGACCTTGCAAGGTACGCACATACCAAATATAGTTATCCTACTACTTATAATACTGTGGATTCATTTATTTTCGTGGGTACCAATTTTCGTGGATTAAGGAAAACTCACATGTTCGTGGATATTTAATTTCGTGGTTTTGCCAAAGTCTGCATACAGATCTATAGGAAATTTGTCATTCGTTGAACATTTAATTTCGTGGTTCATCTGTACCCACGAAAACCACGAAAATTGGTATCCAACGAATAATAATGAATCCACAGTAAGAGAGAATTTAACATTACAAAAAATGTTAACTTTTTTTTCAAGTAGTCACTGAACCATGAAAATGAGGTCAAGGACATTGGACATGTGACTGACGGAAACTTCGTAACATGAGGCATCCATATACAAAGTATGAAGCATCCAGGTCTTCTACCTTCTAAAATATAAAGCTTTTAAGAAGTTAGCTAACGCCGCCGCCGCCACCGCCGCCGGATCACTATCCCTATGTCGAGCTTTCTGCAACAAAAGTCGCAGGCTCGACAAAAATCATGCGATAAAAATCTGTGCCTTTTCAAAGCATTCACTGAACCATTAAAATAGGTCAAGGACAATGGACATATGCCAGTTAGAAACTGCAGGTATTTATATGCAAGATATTGATTGATCTTCCAACACTTTACTGAAAGCTTTATACAAATAGTTTATGTCTTTGCACAATTAGCTCCAAATATATCATAAAATTGAGAATGGAAATGGGGAATGTGTCAAAGAGACAACAAGCGGACCATAGAGCAGACAACAGCCGAAGCATGCATTCTTTGCCTTTCTTTGCAGGCAAGGAAACGAAAGGAGATGTAAAGTATATGCCAATGAAAAACAAAACCAAAAACACTAAACAATCATAAAAGAGGTCAAAATATGGACTTCAACAATAATCATGTCTAAAGCATATATCAAGCTCCAAGTTCCCCTCCCACTAGAAAAGATCCAAATAACTGTGTATAACTTACAGGTATATAATTAGCATTGATATAATCTGAAGAGTCTTCCTCATCTATCATTGGAGCTAAAACTACCCTGCTGTGGTCATCTGGAAAATATTAAAAGTACATATAAACTGCTTGCTTAATACTGTGGATTCCTTTTATTTTTTTGTGGATACCAAATTTTGTGAATTGAGGAAAAATTGTTTCTTCATAGATATTTGATTTCATGGTTTTGCCAACGTCTGCATTCAATCCTATAGAAACTTATATTTCGTTGAACATTAAAATGTGTGGTTCACCTATACTCATTAAATCAGGAAAATTGGTATTCCACAAATAATGATGAATCCACACGAATCCACACTAATAAAATTGTATTCTCACTAATTCTCATGTACTTTTTTCTCAATTTGTATATGTTTATATGTACCAGCATTGTTTGGTTTCATGTAAACCAATTTAATTACCAGTAATAGTTACTTTTTCAATAATCTATCTGCATCTATCTAAAAATTACTTCAGTTGTTGAAACATTAATTGATCTCAGAACACAGGATAATCATCCTTCAAGAAAAATTCAACTGAATCGACCATTTCCAAGAAATTTAAAGTTACCATGATTTTTCAATGCAACTTTTACAATGCACATAAATAAGAAGACGTGGTATGACTACCAATGAGACAACTCTACATCCAAGTCACAATGTATAAAAGTTAACAATTATAGGTCAAAGTACGGCCTTCAACACAGAGCCTTAGCTCACACCGAACAGCAAGCTATAAAGGGCCCTTTATCAATCTTTAAATATAACGTATTCTACTGGAAATGTATTTTAAGACACTTTTCCTCCAATAGAAAACTAATAATATTATATGCATATACTATAAAAGATGCACTATGTTCAACTATAATTTCATCAGTGCTAACCTGGAATTCATGAATTAAAATTTCAATGGATTTAAAGAGCAAAATAACAAGCAAATGGCTATTTTATTAAGACTTACCATTTGGGGGCTGTAATATTACAGCCTCTGTCCCAAATTTTTTTTTTTATTCTCTAATGCCTTCCCATGCTTTCAGTGGTTAACTGTTGATTTCAAAATTTAGGTATGTTCCCTCAACCTTAGGCAATTTATTAATATATTTTGCCGATTTAAGGTGCAGTTTGAACTGGGAACCCGAATTGGAACTATGGAAATTAAATTGGAGAAAAAGGAGGATTATGAATAGTGGACTGCCCTTCTTTGTCTGGCCCATATGGTATATAGATGTCATGATCTTCCAGAATCGACCTAAACTCACTGGAATATAACTAGTAACATGTTAGAACTTCAAGTATCTTTCAGAGACAACTATTTCCAGTTGCAGTCACTGGTGCAGCCATAAATGTGAAAACGTCAGGAATTTTTTGTTGAATTAGCCTGCCGAAAGCTATCTCAGTTTCCTCAGAGCTTAGCACATTTATGTACCATGTGTTCACTAAGGTCCACAGCTATGCAGACTACAACAAACTAAATCCCTGGGATGTGCAGGTCAAGAATAGGGAAAAAAGTGTTATAAGTGATATGCACCAATCTCCTCCACTTTTTGATAATAGTTCAGCATAAGAAGAGCTAATAATTAAAAAGGTTTCCTGGAATTCAAATTTTCCAGTTATTGCTACAATTTTGGTGTTTTTTCATCAGTTTTGGTACCAGAAAAAGTAATCAAGTACTTTAGATACAACTGTATGCTTAATTTTCAAAAAGTAATCCTTATCATGCAGGGAGCATTATATTTAATTACCTCTGCCTCAAATCTGGTTTTTAGACCTACATATTCATACTTCAATACATTAAAACAGCTCTTGATATAATTATACTAACTAGTTCAAAGAAAATTGGTAAGAAATATAAATATTTTATGCTAATATTGTCATAACTTTTGTTCATAAACATATGTAACAACTTACAAGGTAATATATTGGTGTATCTATTCTTTGGTTTGTTTTCGTCAAGATTAGCCGAATTTGTTGTGTGTCTTGGACTCAACTGCTTCAAATCCTGTAAGAATAAGAACTCAATTAAATTGATGCAATGGTATTTTACTTTTAATTATAAGAAAATACATCCTAAAAAGTTTAAATACAGTCATCTCTTGTTGTCTCGAACTCTCCTTTCTTGAAATTATGCTGGAGTAAATAACAAGATTTAAATACGTTACTCTCCATGTCTCCAACTCGGCTATCTCAAATTCTTCATGAGAAGAAATATTTCTGCCATCCCTACATCGAAAGCAGTAATTTATATAAATTTGCATCGATTGAGTCAAATTTTGCATGATTCCAACTTAATATAGTCCAATAGTGTTATAAACAATGTTTATCATGTCTTATATGTCGAAATTTTCCACACTTGTCAAAAATGGTCATGGGATTAAATGCTAATTGACAATATGCCTGTAACTTGATGTGGTAATCAATAGTTTTGTCTATATAACACTTTATTAGATGGTTAGATATCTTTATTATCTACCTATTCTATGCTCAATTAAATAAAATTTGCTTTTCTAGCATAAAAGTGATTATCCTAATTATCATGCCATGAGAGGTGATGAAAAGTTAAGTGCATGTTATGCTCTGGTCAGAATAAAACAAATAGTGTTCAAGCAAACACGCTATCATGTATTTTACATTCTAAAATAGACTAAGTAAAATATAAAATACAGTATTTAAACAACTACAGAAAACATTGATTGATTGATTGGTTAGTGTTTAACGCCACTTTTAACACTATTATGCTATTTCGTGTCAGTCAGTTTTTATTGGTGGAAGAAGCCAGAGTGCTAGGAGAGAACCACGACCTTCGGTAGGAAAACTGACAATCCTAGTCAATTAAGATTGGAGTCAAGTGCACCTGCCCCATGCGGGATTCGAACTCACAACCTCAGTGTTGACTGGCTAGTGATACAGTAGCTCGACTACTTAGACCACTCTGCCACTGAGGCCTCCCCTACAGAAAACAAAAATCAAAGCCTTAAAGGCTGTAAAAGCAATTGCTGCCATGTTAATGTTTTGGGGACTTTTTCATCCACATATATATAAGAACTAAACCTGACAGGAGTGTTGTCTAGTGAGAAGTAAGAAGGTTTTAACTTTATATCAATAAAAGACTTTAGCAGAAAGTCATTTTTGATATGTTTTATATTTCACAAGGAGACAACACGTTTACCAGGCTAAATTTGGGGTCAAATTTACATGTGCTGAAACATATAACTCAAAAAGAAATTATCCCCTGGTAGTGTTTGTAACTGGGCAATAATTTCCTTTATTGATTTAATTTTAACAATTATCATAATTAATTTAAATTTAACCATTCAATTAAAACATTTCAACTTTCCAGACGCAAATGTTGAAAAACGGGAAAGAAATGAAATATCTTACAAGACATAAACATGTAAAAAATAAACATATATTTCAGCTTACTAAAAATATTTTCATAATGTTACTTTGTCTTCATTTCTTAAAACTAAGTCCCAAACATTATTGCTCGTGTCATCCTCATGCGGTACGAGATAACTATAATTCTCATGCAATCCCAAAAAGGGGGGGGGGGGGGGGGGGGGGGGGGGGGTGGTCATCACAGACAAACATGACATTAAATCGGCATTATACGAACAAGAACAAACAGCTCTTCGTTGCTTTGATATTTATCAATTTTCAGGAAACATTGCCAAAAATGATCTTCAATATTTCGAAAACATGTGAAATAAAATTGCAAACACGGTGGACCGTCGAGTGTCAACACATGTAGTAGACTCGTCCACTGGAAAGACGAGGATAATAGTTTCATCATTTGTCATGCATACCCAGTTTTGATTATGATATCCAAAAGGACGTACTTTTTTTCAATCTATGAAACTAGAAAATTCCAAATTGTAAATATCTCTTCATCTGGACTTGACATCTATCACGTTTTGACGGGTCCATTTCATTAGTAAGGTGATCGATAAATCTTACGGAGTTATGACAAAAAAGGAAAACGAACTTATTTTTATGTGTTTTTAACTGACAAGGGTTTTTTTCCGCTAAATTGTTTGCGCAAACAAATCAACAAAATAGGTCAGTTAAGGTTGTCTATCTTTAGATTACAGGTAATCATTTTACACTACGTATAACCTGTGTAGTGATTTTGATTTTACGATAAATTTATGAATGAACGATAATTTTATGAATGAACATCAACAAGAGCACCTGGCCTCTTTCTTAGAGAAACACCAATTAAACATATAAAACCGTATTTAATAAGAGATAATTCAGTAAAATTTTCAAATCTAAATCAACAACTGAAATTATTTGATATTTTGTTGAAACATCGTACGAAAGGAGAACGGAATCGCAGGTATAAAAATGCACTTTTTTTCACTCGGACTTCTATGTTTTTTTATAGTCAAACGGTTGTCCCCCTAAATACAAAAATACATCTACAAGAAAATATGCTGAAACCTCTTAAATCCACTAACGTTTTTCAAAAGTTTCAAGCTATGTATTGCATAAGAAAACATACATAGGTGTTTAAGAATGACAGACCAGGAGCCTGTTTAACAAAATACTATGGCTTGATCTGGGCGGAGTCTCTGATTTGCGTCACAAAGATGGCCATACGCGATGGCATAAAAGCAATTGCTTTAAAAAAACAGTGTCTAAATAAAAGAACAGAGTTCCAATGTCCCCCGCGTTGCACATATATCATCTATCCAAGGTACAAGGGCAATAACTAAAAAATACACTTTTTTGGGATCTTTTAAACTGTTCATAAATATCTTAGAGAAATGAATGCTTCAGAGCAAATTCAATGTGATTTCCGATATAATTAATAAGAATTGTACACATGAGAGCACTATCAATGCAATTTTCCATATAACTGATATTTCCAAGGGGCATAACTCTTATAAAAATAATTGATCAGAACAGTTTTTTTAAACTAGTTCGAGACATTGCTGATATAAACCTACAATGTAAGTTTCATAAAAATCTGGCACAAACTGTACACATGAGAGCACTAATGATGTAATTTTCCATATAATTAATGTTTCCAAGGGGCATAACTCTTTTAAAGATAATTGATCAGCACTGATTTTCGAACTCGTAAGAGAAATTGCTGATATAAACCTATGATATAGGTTTTATAAAAATCAGACAAGAATTGTACTAATGAAAGCACTTACAATGCAATTTTTCATATATAATTAATGTTTCCAAGGGCATAACTCTTTTAAAAATTATTGATCGGCACTGATTTTCGAACTTGTAAGAGACATTGCTGATATAAACCTATGATATAAGTTTCATAAAAATCTGGCAAGAATTGCACTAATGAGAGCGCTAACGATGCAATTTTTCATATAATTAATGTTTCAAAGGGGCATAACTCTTGTAAAAAAATAATTGATCGGTACTGATTTTCGAACTTGTCTGAGACATTGCTGATATAAACCTATATATAAGTTTCATAAAAATCTTGCAAGAATTGTAAACATGAGAGCGCTAACAATGCAATTTTCCATATAGTAAATGTTTCCTAGGAGCATAACTCTTTTAAAAATAGTTCATTGGCACTGATTTTGGAACTCCTCCAAGACATTGCTGATATAAACCTATGACATAAGTTTTATAAAAATCTGACAAGAATTGTACATGTAAGAGCGCTAACAAGACCGGACAGACGGACAAACAGATGCCTGGTATTTCACAACGCGGGGGACAAGAAAATGAAGAGATCCATGTGCACTAGTAAAAAGAATGATTAGTTAATCGGATACACAATACTGGTTCTACCAAGTGAAAGTTCAAGTTATCTTCCCTTGATTGTTTCAAGTAAGCTCATCTGGAGTTAAACTTTGGATAACTAAAAATTTACCACTGACCTGAAGGTTTCAACATAAAAAGGGTCGACAAAATTTCTTTTCATTTATAGCTTAGTTAAACTTTAAAAAGAAAAGCTATTAACTCTAAACTTGATATTTAAGAAACAAAATTTTAAAACTAAAAATTATATATACAAAAACTATGTACAAAAATAACTACTCACAGTATGGTTGTAATTAAGATATAAATATATAAAAGATTAAGGCAAATTTTGATGCTAGAAAGGAGTGTGAAAAAAAAAAACTGTTTCAAAACTTCCTATCCAAAAGATATCAACTCTGTAAATTCAGAAATTAATGCATGCATTAAATTTATGAATGCGAATCCTTGACCACTGGCAAAAATGCAAAATCTAATTAATGTGATTGCAAAATTTTGTGAAAGAAAATCACTACTGAAATTATGAAGGAGAGTTTTTATAATTGTGGACATGGTATCGTCGCATTTTTCTCATCAATAAAAACATCACATAATTTCTGAATTTACAGTATTTTTAAAAAATAGAAAAAGAATGAAAACTTACTTCATACTCTCCAATGAAGAGTCTATTGTCGTCTGCATGGTACTTTCTCAAGAAGTCACCAATGGCACTCAATACAATAGGTCTGAAAGAACAATTAAAAATCATAAAGCAATTATTGATTGGCCTAATCAGTGAAATGAGGGTACTCTATAGGGAACAACAACAAAAATAGCAGTCAAATATTTTCAAAAATAAAAAAAAAAACCAATAAGTTGTTAACTTTTTGTCCCTTTTCTTCCTTTTTTTCTTTGGTATTAGGTCCAGATCAAGGTCCTTTCTATCTGTGTTTTGTTTATCACACATCATACTGCCATCTCTTTAAAATATTTAAGAAGGTGATGTTATATGCATTGCTAGCAGTAACACATTTCTTTGTTCTTTGGATTTGATTACTGTCAGGCCACATAAAATAATATTTGTGGTTCCTGCTTCTTTATTTACCTTAATTATAATTTTTTAACAATGTTCAAGTAAGCATTAATTGTTAAAGTCACAATGTGTCCTGTGGATATTCTATATAAAATAAATAATATATAAAAAAAAAAATCATTACTAACCTATCCAATTTTTTCAACAATGTAACAGGAACCTAACTTATTATTCTATTTGGCCTAAGTAATGTCTTAAAATATCTATAACCTTTTCATTAATAAGTCACATGTGTTCAGTGTGTAAAAATCAATAAATTCTGAACCATACAACCTATGGGATTAAAACTCAAACCTGATAATTAAGTACTTTTTATTAAATAAAGTTCAGCATTTATGCTTTCTTATCATTTTCAAGGACTATAAGTCCTTAACAGTACCAGTCATTATAGTGAAAGTTACAACTGAGCAATACTTTATTATAAATATTTCTCATACCAAAAAAAGAATATTGATTAAAAAAAAATTTATCCTAAACCATGCATTAAATAAAAGAAACAAAGGCAGCAGATGCATGCGTTTCTGAAGCAAACTTACCATTTGTTTCTGACTAAAGTATAGCAACTTCTCTATTTGTATGATGTTTAATAGAAATAAGAAGATGTGGTATGAGTGCCAATGAGACAACTCTCCATCCAAGTCACAATGTGTAAAAAGTAAACAATTATAGGTCAAAGTACAGCCTTCAACACAGAGCCTTGGCTCACACCGAACAGCAAGTTATAAAGGGCCCCAAAATTACTAGTGTAAAACAATTCAAAAAGGTAAACCAAGGGTCTAACCTATATAAAAAACGAGAAAGGAGAAACACTTATGAACCACATCAACAGACAACAACCACTGAACAGGCTCCTATTAAGAACATATTAACACATATCTTATGCCAGCAAACTTATAATTTAGAATTTTTCCAGCCACGCACGAGCATTGTGCACCACTATAGCATAAAGGTAAATAGTAACATTGTGTTCTTCTGCCAAAATGTGTCACAATAAATGTCCACATTTAAAAAAGGTTGGACACAACACATAGGGTCAGTTTATTAAGAAATGGAAATGGTAAATCTTACTATTATTATGATGATGATGGATGTCAATCGTCCAGTACCAAATTAAATGCATATTCAGCATAAGACAGAAAAAGTTAATGTAATATATAAATGAACTCTGTTTTGATACTAGGCTGACATACTGAGTCGGATTTTTAACTGGTAGTTCACAAGGTCCAAGCAGTCCCCAGGAAGACATGTCACCCTACCCAGACACAATATTCTGACTCCCGGCCTGCCAGTCTTTGCTCTTACTCCTAAATATTGCATGTTTAGTGGAGAAGCAGCACATTCCAATTTCAAGTATGTGGTTTGGCTCAGGTTTCAATATTCATGATCTCTCGCTCTCAAGGCGAGTGCTACAGCAAGACCACCAAATTATAGTTGAAGTGAAACTTTGAAAATGTACAACAATAAGCAAGGTGACATGCAATATGTTGCATACCAGTAAAACCTCATTTCAATATTCCAAAATCAAAGATTTTTATCTTTGAGTAAACATTTTTAAATATTACCTGATTTTTTCATGATGACTATATCTGTATAAATCAATTAAATCTCCCTCTTGCATTACAATTTAGTGAAAATATAATCAAGTTTTTACACACCATTCCTAACATTATTTATCTGCCATATTTTGATCATTTAACTTTCCTTGTTCTATCAATTTCAGAATTAATAAATTCTCAAATATTCTAAATTGAGGAAATACTATAAATGACTCATCACTTGATTAAAATAACTGAAAGTGAAGTACATGTGTGTAAAACATGTACTAAAGAGGAAGCAAGATTTTAAATTTCAAAAGATAATCATACTTCAGTCAAAAAACTTCATATTAAAATTGAATGTTAATATTATGTTAATTTTTTAATTGAATCTTATTTTTTTAATTATATTTTTCATATATGTAAAAGCGAATCACCACCAAAATAAACAAAAAAGCTGTATCAACATGTTTCCATTAAAACAACAGTATAAGTTATGAATTGTTGAAGGACTGGGGTGAATCAAGGTTTTCAATGAAACTTCTGCAAGGGAAAAGTAATTTTCTGTAATGGTAAGATTAGCACAGAGCGTAGCGAGACAAAATTTTGGCAATTATTTCCCAAAAAGGATTATTTTCCTTTATATTAAACGATATTAAAATAAATATACCTTAATCTGTTAATGAAAAACTTTAATTTCCATTTAATGGCTGACGAGGCAAATATCTTTTACACAATTGTTATTTAAGCAAAAAATGTAAAAATCAATCAATTTCATTTCATCCACATTTCATATTCAATATTTTTTTAAAACTAAACTGTGAAATTTAATATATATACTTCATCTCAAATTTAGCCCAAAAAATGTTAGATCTGCAAATTTGGCTAAGCAAATTTTTGTTCTTCCTTAAACAGGATTTGAACCATGTTGAGATCAAGGGCACCTGACATATACCAGAGGAAAATTTCTGACTATAAGGCATCTGTTATAATACAAGATATGAACTATCCAGCTTTTCTACCTTGTGAAACATATTATAAGTTATATGGTTCGCTACTGACCCCCTACAGATCCATAGAGGGTTAGTAAAATTCATAGGGCGTGAGGCCAAAGAATAGATGACATCACCATTAACAGTAGACGTGACGTCATGAACCCCCTGCGGATCCATAGGGGGTCACCACATGACAGCGTTAAACCAATCACAACGTCATAATTTACCCGCGGTGGGATAATAATGTTTTTACAAATTGTTTACAATGTTTACACAGATACTGCTTGATAAGCCTGCTTGATTGTAGGTCATTTAAAAAAATTCTAATGTCAAACTGAATCCATGTCAATGAAGTGTAACATAAATTAGGTTAGATTGGGATTCTTTTTTAGGGAAGCTGCTATACTCCAGAAGATGCAAATTAACCACAACTTATATTAGGCCAAAAAAAAAATATATGTCTGTTTAAGGTTACATCATTAAAAAAAATAGGTTAGGAAGGTCAGTATTTCCATTTTATTTTATTTTTTCATTATGTTTTTTGCGACATGATTTTGAGTCGAGCGCTCAGTCTTGCTGTGGTCCGAGTTGTCCATGGGCTGAGTTTACCAATATTATTAATGATTGGATTATTTTTTTTTTTGCCTTATTGTAGTATCTGCAATGTGAACTCAGACGTAAAATCTAAAGAACATTATAAACTGTTTCAAAGCCTTTGAACCTTGAAATATTGGTCATTGCACGAGAACTTCATATTATGGAACATGGTCAGTCTTTAGAAGATCCACCTGAATATACCAAAATATATTGCTGTATGGTTATAAGTTTGTAAGAAACATCAACGACATGCAAGCTAACACTGACGTAGATGCCAGAGTCCACAACAACATGCAAGCTAACATAGACGTAGATGCCAGAGTCCACAACAGGATTTACTGCTTGTCATTTACAAGCTTAGAATAAACGGCTCCTTCAAGGGATTGCACAAGGTCAGAGAATAAATATCAACCCTAAGAAATGCTTGCACAATATTACCCCAAAAAGTACAACCATCAAGTCTTTTTTTTTTTTTTTTAATCAAATTGAATTGTAAAATAATAACAGTAATAGAAGGCAATAACAGTGAAGTTCCTGATGTATGCATGCAGGGGTAGGATAATCAACTAAAACTGCCAACAAATATGTACAAAAATAGAATTAACATTAAATGCATATATATTTGTACTTGTAAAATATTAGAGTTTTTGTCTCAATTTGGTAGATTCATTTTACTGCTAAATTTATAGAAGCCAAATTTGCACCCAGCAGATATAAACTGCTATATAACCTGAATAATTCAGTCGATAAATTCCACTGCTCTATGATGGCTACATTAATGCCTAAATTAGCCCAGAATTTACCTATCTCGATAACATTAAGCTATCAGCTGATGGCTCTCTCGTATAGTGAGCACCAATCAATATCCTGGATTTTTATCGTATAAAGAGTTCAGGCCCTCCCAAGTGGGAGAGTCGATCACAGGGAGGGACTGAATTATTTGGGTTAACTGCTATACAGTACTTTTAGACAGAAAATTAGCATATATGTGTACCTGCTATAAGATAGTGATCAGAGGGAAAATAAAAAATGAAATAAATGAGTCTACTGCCTCATCAAGAAACAGTGCTTTCAGAACCAGAACCAACACAATAAATCACCTATGGAACCATTTCAGACAACCCCAAAAAACACAGTCTTTACCTTTTTGGGTCATTTTGAATAATCAACATCCAAAAGTAAGGGACATTATAGATGAAAAAAATGATGAAAATTACAAGTATGATTGAAGCCAAAATTTCTGGGGGTCTTTGAAAGCTCTTATACTAAAATGTTTGTGGGTGCTGTACAATATTTGCAAATTGACAACAAAGAGGGGAGGTTTTTGTGTATGTAAAACTGGTTCAACCCAACCACATTTTGTACCTCCACTAAGTTAGGCTATCTGGAAAAGGGGGGACAGATTCATGTGATTCTTTCTCTTTGTCAAAGGTGGGGTGGGGTGTCAGAGAAAGTGCCGTCAAAGTCACCTATAGAAATATATCCAGTCAGGATCTTTGTAAATTGTCACTTTTTAGGATTGGAAAGGTATTTAGAATAGAGAATAATCCAACATGCAACATCATTTCAGAAAAAAGTAAAATATCAACAAATTCTGATGTATAAGTAAAGCTAATGTAGCACAAAAGAGAATAGATTGATACATGCCTTTTCATACTCTCGTTATTCAACCTATAAAAAGGGATCAAAAGTTATCATCTTTTATTAAATTTTCAGATTTTCAGATTTGTTAAACAGTGTTTGTTAACAGTGAACAATGTTAAAATTAAAGTAGAAATTTCAAATCAATTTTTAATCTCTCACCTTTTTCGCACTCTTGACCTAACTTTTAATGGGGCATAACTAAAACATGAATCTAAAATTATTTGTGTGAAAACTTGATAATTAAAAACACTGAGGTCAAAAATATTTCCATCTTTCTTTTCTAAAAACTATTCAAATATCTAAAAACTTATAAAGGATTCCACAGAACCCTGTGTGTCGCCTGCAATTGGTGCTGTCAGTATAAAAGTGTAATGTTGACTGTAAAAATTGAATAAATTTACAGGTAATATACAGAATTTAAAAAAAAATTTTTTAGATGCTATATCTTGCATGATCTTGAAGATTAGCTTGTGTCCAAGTTTCATAATCCATAAAGGTTGTAAACTATATGATTTGATTAGACAAAACTTGTACCCTATTTCATACATTATGCTGAAAAATGACAAAGGTCCCAAGTCTGGAAAAATATGAAAAAATTCTCCAAACAATTCAATAATAGGAGGTGCACAACATATGTGTAATCTTCCTTCTAAGTTTTAGGGATGCTGGTTAAAAACTGTAGGAGGAGTTGATTACAAAAATTAGGTACCCACTTTTCCCACTTCATCCAACCCAACGGAATTGATGTGTAACAACCCAGACTGTTTCTAATTATCTTTTAATAAATCGAAATTATTGTATCAACAACATAAGTGGGGTGCTCATTTTCGCCATAATTTTCCATGTTTTCTGCAGTTTATGTTCAGACCTTTAAGTTTTTGAAGTATACTGATATTTCTATATGAAGATAACATCAAAAGCAAAATATTCTTAGCTTGAAAACGTGTTTCTCTGAAAAAATTCATCTGAAAAGTTAGATTAAAGGCTATTTGAAATTTCCTGATGTTTTGTCATAGGGGGACACATATTCACCGTTTTTACACATCTATTTAAAACCAAATAACTGCAGCTTTAAACAATATTTATCAAATCAATTTCATTATAGATGAATAGCAGACATTTCAAAGGTGTAAAGAACTGAAATTTAGGGCAATCAGTCAAAGAATTATTAAGAAATACTTCTTTGAAATCTTTTTTTTCATTCAGGAAATTGGCCGAAAATCGTTGTCGTTTTTCGGTCCTCTGCGGTAAGTGCCGAAATCTTTTCTAAGTTTAAAAAATAATCATATTTGTTATAAAAATATAATTTACCGGCTTATTTCTTCCATTTCAGCAATCCTTTGAAGTTTCTACACCTCAAAATCATAAAACGGCGAAATTGTGTCCCCGTCGAATATGTGCGCCCCACTCTAGTTTTTTATGAAAACTCTATGGATTAGAATTAGAGTAGAGATTTGATAATTTCAAGAAAAAATCAAGACTTTTTTTCGCTGATTTTATATGCTTTCTATACAAATGTTCACCTATTTTGAAAGAAATCAATCAGTACTATTTCAGAAAATAAAAGAGATAAATTCACCATTTTTTAAATTTTCAGTTAAAGTTCAATGAGCCAAAGTTGCATGCAAAATTAAATTACTAAAATCTGTGACATAGGCCATTTACTGACCTTAAGTCCATTTATCAGTAAAATATGAAGAAAGAAAAAATAAATATTTTTAAATTTTGCTCTGGATATACTGTCTTTCGGTCACAAAAAAGCTTCTGTCCAAATTTCATAAAATTCCATAATGGTTTAACAAAGTTATTGCTGTCTAAAAAAAACTTTAACTACAGACTGAACCTAAATGTTGAGGACACCTCCAACAACAGAATCTAGGATTGCTATGTCTCGCTTTCACAAACTAAATGTTGCAGGATAGACAAAAGGACATTTGTTTTGTTTTAAATTTTTAGACTGGAGGGTTGCTTAAAATACGTGTATAGGGATATATTTTGATGCTATTGCAATCATATAAGAAAAGAGGATCTCAAAATTATATTTTAAACAAAATAAACATCTTCACCAGAGTGCAAGATAGCTCCATACCTCCTTTGTATATACATAATGTGAATATATGCAACAGACAAATAACAGATACCAATTAATTGTAATTAACACTAGCTTATGCAGCCAATCTGTCTTAAAGGTTACCCTAATTATTTTCACCCATAGGGTCATTTAAATAAATTTCAAGTATTTAATATCTGTTGTGGCCTAAATACCCTTTCTTATAAAAGTTACAGAAAATATCTCTCAAAATGAAAATAAGACCCTACTGAATGAAAAATAGACCCCTAATAATTATATTGTTGTCTATAGAAAAATTGGTGCATTTGCTTGTATAAAATTTAGCTTCAGTGACTAGTGGAGTAAAGTAATTACCTGTACCTTTCTGGTGGTGGTTGCAATGGTTCGAATTCTCCTGTTGATTGTCGTCTTCCAATATCTGGCAGATACTCTTTAATACATCTAAAACGTATTTATATACATATGTAAATAATAATAAATGTAAGCGCAGAATTCACACATATTCAATGTTTAACCAATGCAAACACCATTAGTGGCATCATAAGCTATATTTATATAAGATAATATAAACACACTTTTAATGACAAGATATGTCTATGCTGCTCACATCGATAAAAACTACCGGTAGATAAACTGTGAGCACCCTCACAATTTGCTGAACCACACACACTGCCACACAATTTGCTGAACCACACACACTGCCACACAATTTGCTGAACCACACACACTGCCACACAATTTCGCTATTTTCTTAAAATGAAGGTGATAGCAAAATATTTAAAGGAAAATATAATTTTAATCACTAATCAATTTACCAAAAGATAAACCAAATAAATTAAATATCAATTATCTCTCCTTCAAGATATTAATACTGTAAATTTAGAAATTATTGTGAGGATTTTATTAATGCAAATAATGGGACTGGGGGAGTATCGCAATAATAAGTCATCACATTCTGATATCTGACACATATATATCTGTATGTAGATTTTCCTTAAATCGCAATAATTAATCTCGCATTTTTGTGCATTCTTCAAAAATTGCAATAATAAATGCATACAATAATTTCTAAATTTACAATATTCAAATTAACTCATTTCCTTATCAAGACGAAGTATAGGGATTTCCATATTACGAAATCAACAGAATAAAAACCCTATCAAAATTGGATAAAATCGAAAGAGTCCTGACAATTAACATTTACAATGCAGTAGTTCTAAACTTACATTCTTATTTTACACATTCTTAGAAATAACTTTTTATAGCTCTAATATATATTATGTAATTATAGATGCTTAGAGATATAGTTTCTAGATCTCTATGACTAATGTTGGCATGCTTCAACTTCCATTCATATACTTACTCCCATCTACGATAGACAATTAAGCCACCAAGTCCAAAAACAGTTACTAATAGTAGCACACAGATAATGATACCTGCTATTTCTCCTCCTGAAAGAGGGTCGACTGTAAAATAAACAAGAACAACTTAACTTGCAATTGTAAACAGGTTACCAAGAGAAATATCAAAATGATGCCAAATATCTTTTCTAAATATTACTGCTAGTTGAAGTAAAACTTAATCAATTAAACGATAAATGCCCTATAAAACTTGTAAGAGTGTAATCTGGAACGGGGATCCAATAATTTCCCCCCTTACTTCAATGCAATTTTATCCAAATTGAGGGGCAGACTTTTTATTCCCTATATTAGACTGCAAAATTTCAATTACTTTCTCATACTAGTAGCCCCCTACATGGTTTCTGGGAGAATTCTTGAAAGGTCATGACCAGCATCTAAGAGAGCAATACTGCTTTGAGTATTAATAGGTTCATTTTATTAACTTCCTGGTTAAAATCGAAAATAAAATTTGGACCATTTACTCAGACAATCATCCACACTATACATTTCAGAACCACTTAAAATTTAACAGAAGTTGAAAGTTTAATGAATACCCTTTAGATATACTACAATTTTAAGCATCTTTACATAATTTCCATCTAGGTACACTATCCCATCTAAAAGATGGTAGATTTATTAGGGGACTTCATTCGTGGGTACTGGACTGGTATCCTGTAACTGTATCCTATTCCATCTACATGAAATTGTTGTCTCCTGTACATTCACCCCTTTTCCTTATTAAGTCTGGGAATGTTCAACAATAGTTATTTTTTTCAAGATGACTGTGAATACCTAGCGGTATCCACTCTTTTTTACCCTACCGCACAATCACCACTTCAAGTGTTGGTTCACTTATATTTTTACAGATTATTGACAATAGTAATATATATATATAATTTTATTTTAAATAATTTATTATTGTTTCCAGGTTAACTATTTCTTTTTCACAATTTGTTTTTGATCAAATACTGTATTTATGTGGAGGATGTACAGTGGACAAAAGTAAATTAAGGTACTACGATTAATAACCAATAATACCAAATGAACAGATTTTATTGTTTTTCTTCTCCTTGACAGTTGATGTAAGGTTTTCAAAGATATTACTGACACAGGTCTGTAAAAGTACTAAAACTACCCGTTACTACTACATATTACTAATTTGAAGTTTATAATTATTTTTTTTCCTTTTAAAACCTTTGCAGATTTATAAACATTTTGATCTTTAATCACTTTGATATATATAAAGGCTATTGTGGGCAGGACTGGTTTGAAAGAAAGAAGTGTCCATTGCATCAATCATTACTCTACCATAAACAATAGTCATAATTGACTACTATATTATATCCTATTTTGCAAATTTTTAAGTATTAGTTAGCTGCTTAAATTCATTTTATTATAATAACTTTTTCATAAGTGGAGTTTTCTTGAAAAGAGAATGTATAAAACATAAAAATTCTTGAGAAAAATGACAAGTCAGTCTAGAAACAATCATTGGAAAAATTAAAAATTTATATAAAAATAGTGATCCTTGAACTTTTCAAACAAAATTTACTCTAACAAATATGAAAGGAATACCAAAAAATTAATAATAACATAAGTCACAAGTGCATGTGAGAAATATAAGGGTTGCTGACCAAAAGTTTAACTGTGAGCTACTGCTCACTAATAATGCCCCCACTTAGTATTTGGTAAACATAATGTTAAGGATGTTCGCTGACCTCTTGTTTCTGAATTTTTGCCAGATATTAGGAATCCTATGGTTTTATTCATGTAGTGCCATTAAAAATTTTGCCCGCTAACCCCTATTTTTCTTTCCATAATTTGATTACAAATAGTTTAAAATGCCATCTTTGAAAATCTTATAAAATCCTTATTTATATTTTTTATAGTTTTTGAGAGAAAAAAGGTGCCAATGTTAAATGAATGAAAAATCTAGAGAGAATCATTTCCCGTCAAATTTTCAATGGTTTACATCTTGAAAACAAGCACATGAACCCTTCATTTTTTTCTGCTTTTTTTGTTCCTTTATTTATATACTATCAATTTATAATAGTCTTTTTAAAAGCTTGTTATTTTGACACAGAATTGTGAACATCTATAAAGAGAAATGAATGTGAAAAGGCATCACATGGTAATGCATGCTCACTTGAACATTGATACCAAATTTCAGAGTGTTCCAATTCATATATAGCTAGCACTTAACTGAGAATGCACTATAACTATTTTTTTTCCAAAAAAAAACATGTAAACAATACAGTTAGAACAGAAGCTGTACAGAATAAAAAAAAATAATTCTAGTGTAAATTTCCCACAGTAAACTTAGTATTATTAACAGAAAAAAGTCTCTGGTCGTACAGTGACCTTTAGTTGCTAGTATATCTACATCGTTTGATCTTGGGTAGATAGGCAATCATACCACATCTTCTTATCTTTTGACTTTTGTACTATGTGTTTATAGTTTTTGTTTGTTTGTGCTTATTTCCCTTTTCTGTTTAAAAATGCAAAATTTTAAGCATCAACCCATTTCTTTTTACTCACAACATTCAGCAGTATTCACAGTTAGATCCTCAGCGTCACTGTCTGTACTACCACTTCTCCAAGATATCTTCAAAAAAAATAATGTGTATCAACTTAAACATAGGAAAACTTGCATCAATCATTAGAATAACAATTTAACGTACCGGTAGTTCAGGGGTATAGAAAAAAAATGACAGAATTTTCTTATACTTTGCCAAAATGAAGATACTTTTTTAAACAAGAGGCTTTCAAGAGCCTGAATCGCTCATCTGTAATTTTTTGCTTAAATCTTCATCAATGATTATTTTTGCTTTTTAATATATATTAATGAGTGGCTTAAAAATTCCATTGAGATGTTCTTTGTATCTGTCATATTTTCTTCAAAAGCAAAGAAATACATTTTACCCCTATGTTCCATTTTAGCCATAGTTTATATGTTTCTTGACGTACAAGAAAATAAAATACAAAATTTATACCAGATACTCTGAAACTCATTCAGCCCAAGTTTGGCTGAAATTGATTCAGCAGTTTCAAAGGAGAAGATTTTTTTAAAGTAAGCAAACTAGATGAACAAATTGTCAAAAATTGTCTTTAAAGGGCAATAACTCCTTAAGGACACATTTGACAATTTTGGTCATATTAACTTATTTGTAGATCTTACTTTGGTGAACATTTTTGCTGTTCAGTTTATCTATATCATTAATAATATTCAAGATAATAACCAAAAACTGCAAAATTCCTTAAAATTACCAATTTAGTGGCAGCAACCCAACAATGGACTGTTAGATTCTTCTGAAAATTTCATGGCTGATAGAACTTGGCCTAATGAACATTTTTACCTCTCATCAGATTTGCTCTAATTGCTTAAGTGTTTAAGATATATTAGCCAAAACCTGCATTTTACCCCTATGTTCTAATTTTAGCCATGGCGGCCATGTTTTTGACGAAACAGAAAATAAAACACAATCTTTATTCTAGATACCCTAAGGATCATTCAGCTTAAGTTTGATTGGAATTGGTTCAGTAGTTTCAGAGGAGAAGATTTTAAAAAGTTAGAAAACATGATAAACAAATTGTGTAAAATTGTCCTTAAAGGGCAATAACTCTTTAAGGGGTCAATTGACAATTTTGGTCATACAAACTTATTTGTAGATCTTACTTTGCTGAACATATTTTCTGTTTACAGTTTATCTTTATCATTAATACTTTTCAAGATAATAACCCAAAATTGCAAAATTTCCTTAAAATTACCAATTTAGTGGCAGCAACCCAACAATGGGTTATTAGATTCATCTGAAAATTTCAGGGCTGATAGAACTTCACCTAATGAACACTTTTACACTGTCAGATTTGTTCTTACTCCTTTGGTTTTTTAGATATAAGCCAAAAACTGCATTTTATCCCTATGTTCTATTTTTAGCCATGGCGGCCATATTTTTTTTTGACGAAACAGAAAATAAAACACAAACTTTATTCTAGATACCCTAAGGATCATTCAGCTTAAGTTTGGATTGAATTGGTTCAGTAGTTTCAGAGGAGAAGATGTTTGAAATAGTTTACACCAGACGGACGACGACGATGACGGACGACAGGCGCCAAGTGATGGCTAAAGCTCACCGTTCTGAAAGATAAAAAGTATTGGTCACCGCGCTATTTTTCAAGGCACGAGTCGTTCAAAATTGCCAAAATTTGCTTAGATTGTTCATGAAAAAACACATTTTTGTGCATTAAAAGAAATCTATGAGACAGAATTCTGAAATAAAATATGAGAAGATAGGTTTTGTTATATATTTTAAGAAAATAAAAAGAAAAAATGGTGTCCTGAAATTGTTTTCTTGCTACAAGTAAAAAAAAATGAAAATTTTCCTATATGTCCAGTATAAATTTTGTACTAAAAGAGTTATCTCCCCTTAAATGGCTAATTTGAAAAAATAATTCTAAAAGCACAAATGTTTGGTATTTGTTAAAACATTTTATATAACATTGTATAATGCAATGAACAACTAAGTTTCTTTATATAAATAAACAGTGTAACAAATAAATTGCAAATCTGTCTCCAAATTTGCAGATTTGGGCAAAGAACTAGACCGATTATTTACTGTGATTGTACAATTCAAGATGGCGGTATACCCTGAACTACCTTGCCGACCGTGCGAGGGCTGTATAGCCAGTCAAGGTACTTAAAAACTCCCATCATCAACTACCTTAAATTACAAATATTTTAGATTGATTTAATATTATTGCAACCAATTATAGTGAATTGGGGGAAAATTAATTTTTTTCCTGGTTTTTAATAACTCACAAAAGCCCTGTGGTAAATTGTATTCTGTTGAACACTTAAATTTGTGGTTCACCTTACCCACAAAAATTAGAACTCCAGTACTTAAAATGAATCCAAAGTTTGCATTTTTATCAGAATGTATTTTAGGGCCTCAGTGGCTGGTGGTCTAAGTATTACAATTCTACAGTGATCACTAGCATGTCAACAATTGAGGTCATCAATTTAAACCCGGCTGGTGGCAAGGTAAGGTCAACTATGATCTTCTTTGAATAGAACTGCCAGTTTTTTCTGCCGAAAAGGTAGGTGGTTTTCTTAAGGTACTCAGGCTTCCTCTACTTATAAACCCACCTCCCTCCCCACAAATGAAATAGCCATGAGTGCTGAAAGTGATTTAAAAATCAGCAATCAATCAGTATGCATTGTCCTCTGAAATTCAATTTTTCGATATCTTAATTTGAATAAATATACAATTATAAGTAATCCAAGAATTTGAATGTCCTAAAATATTTTAAAAGTTTCAAAACAACACATTCATTGACAATCGAGTTAAGTACATCGAGAGAATTATCAATGTATTTTATCACATGCTAAATATTTTTCAATAATGGAATATTTTGTTATTACATAAACCATGGAAAAGAAAGGATATGGTGAGACAAATCATGTTGCAAAATCATTATGGCACATGAAAATAAAATGCTTCGCTGAGCGTACTGGATACGACCGCAGAGGTCCAACCCTGAACAGTTGGGGCAAAAATGGACACAATATTCGCGCTTGATACAGGTCTGAATTTGGATTGTAATTAAATATTTGACACATAATAGGTTTCTGACACCAAATAACTGTAGTCAATATCTTAGAATTGGTTATATGATTTGAATTCATATTCAATTTTTTGCTTTTGTGCAATACACTATGCTGTTGCGAAATTGACCCCCCCCCCCCCCCCCCCCCAAAAAAAAAATAAAAATTTACCCCCTTTTCTTTTGCTTTTGTGAAATACACTATGCCCCCCCCCCCCCCCCCCCCCAAAAAAAAAAAATTTACCCCCCTTTTTTGCAAGGAAGAAATTTTCTTTTTAATTTCTGAAATCTGAAATGAAAAAAAAAATTGCCCCCACAACTTCTTTTTTACCCTCTTCCCCCCTAATTTTTTTTTCACCAACCCCCCCCCCCCCCACCCTTTTTCCCAAAAAAAATTCTTTCCCTCAAGATATGGTCATAATCTCAATTCAAATTTCCAATGGAGTTTGCAACCATAATTACCAATTTAAATACATCATAAAAGTCTTAAAATAGAAAAAAAAAATCCCCCCCCCCCCAAATTTTTTGAACCCCCTTATGATTCATCACCCTCAAACTCAATCCCAGCCTTCCCTTTGTGGTATGGTACCTTGCAGTACAATTTCAGAGCGATCCATACACTTGAACACAAGTTATTGTCTGGAAACTAGAAAAATTCTTGTTTTTTGGCCCCTTTTTAGCCCCAAATTCCTAAACATTTAGGGCAATTACCCCCAAACTCAAACCAGTTTTCCCTTTGTGATATGGAACCTTGTAGTACAATTTCATAAAGATCCATACAGTTACACACAAGTTATTGTCCTGAAACTAGAAAAATGCTCGTTTTTTGCCCCTTTTTTGCCCCTAATTCCTAAAATTTTGAGGCAATTACCCCCAAAATCCATCCAGCCATTCCTTTGTGGTATGGTACCTTGCAGTACAATTTCAGAGAGACCCATACACTTGAACACAAGTCATTTTCTGGAAACTAGAAAAATGCTTGTTTTTTGGCCCCTTTTTGGCCCCAAATTCCTAAACGTTTAGGGTAATTACCCCCAAACTCAAACCAGATTTCCTTTGGTGATACTGTAAACCGGGAAATTTTCATGCCGTCTTTATTTCGCGATTTATTAACACAATCTAATTTAGCGCCGTTTTGAATTCGCGATATCCCAATGGCCTATATAAATATTTTCATAAATACAGCTTTACATGTAGACTTGCTACAATTTTCTTTCTTACTAATTTATATGTTTACTGAAAACTGCCAGTATACTGATTGCCCTGGGAGACAGGCAGGTGTCAGTATAATTGAAATCTATAAGTTATAGCCGTAAAATCATTAAAGGGGTAAAATTGAAAAAAATTAGGAAGAGACATGTAGCAAGTCTACTTAACATGTATCGTAAATCGAGTGATAAAATCAATCAGCAATCTTTTGTTTTCGGTTTAATGTTAAAGGAGATTTAAAGTTGTGTTATATTTGCTTGTAATAACTCATACACAATAAACAGTAAAGAAGACCTAATTAAGAGTGAATTAAATGCTGTCAAGATTAATGCTAATTAATCGATCTTTTAATCTGATTAATCTGTGTAGCAGATACAATGAGGTAATAATTTTAAAACTGATTGGCAGGTGTCATTTACATATCTGTAGCCAGTGTTGTTTACAAAACAATATCCGTATTGTCCGCTTGCTTGGGGTGTACCGGTATTCCATGTTTTAAAAGATTAACTTGAGAAAAAGTCAGGATTTCTATCATTGCTTTTCATTTAGAAATACAGTTATGATTTAAGGAATAGATCTGTCTTATGCAAACTCAGTGTTATACAGTGGTCCTATACATATCCGATTCATATACATACATGAATTGTCTTCATCTTATGAATAGAGTTTCCTTGAAATTTTGCGATCGTTTTATTTTCGCGTTTCAATTTTTACCGTGAAAATAGCGAAAATTAAACTGCCGCGAAAATTTCCCTGTTTACAGTATGGAACCTTGTAGTACAATTTCATAAA